TCATAATTGGTATTCCCAGCACATAACACAAGTTTTTTTCACAGTGCTCTCTACCAAACTTTTTGTGGAGACCAAAGGCATTCCTGCAATAAAATATATTTATTATAATTTATTACCTCTATTTGTGCACTGCCTGTTTCTTCTTAGTTGATGCTAAAGACTGCCCTTTTATTTTATAGCATAGTAACAATATATTTTATTATCAGATCTGTTTCATAATCTCAGGTGAGGCAGGATTTAAACTTTAAATTTAACACTTAAAATGCCTGTTCATAAGAGGGTTTACAAGCAGAATGTTGTTTATCTCTAGTTCATAAATTTGTTAGGAAATAAGAACATCAAAATAGATGGACCATTAGTCTTTCTTTTCACCCCACAGATTGTGGAAGATTTGAGGTATATCCATTATACACAAACTAGAATCAAAGTTAGAAAGAAATGATCGTGGTGAAGTAATCTTTTTTCTTTGCGTCTGCAAAGAAGTTGATGTAAGCAGACCATCTGAGCACTGAAGAATTAAATAGGAATATCTGGCCTGTGATTCAGAAATTTCTTAAATGTATACATTTAAGGTTGTTCTTGCCTGATGTTATAGACAGGCTACAAACCAGTTTGTGGGCTATCAATTGCATGTTTTATATTTTCTCATAGAATCTTGTTAGGCAATTCTTTTTTAAACTGCAGAGTTAAGAGTACATTTTGTGATAATGAGAGTGTCTTGAATAAATGAAACCAGTACCTAGAAAATATTGAAAATCACTCTTAGCAAATCTGGGCAAAGTAAATCCAGCCATATAGAAACAGTCTACATCAGTGATGGTGAACCTTTTAGAGACTGAGTGCCCAAAAACCGCCCTGCCCCCCAGCCCACCCGCCCACTCCGCCGCCTGCCCCGCTCTACCCCCTGCTCCACCCTCTTGCCCACCGCCTTCATGGCCCGCTGCAGATTGCCCAGGTGGCCCTGCTATGCCATGGCGGCCACGCCCTCCACCCACATCCAACAGCATCATCTGCATACATCAGGGTGCGAAGGTGGAGTCTTGTACCTGCTGCCTGGCTGCCATGTCCTTGGCTGCGCTGTTCCGTGCGGGCCACACCCAGGGGCGACTCTCCAGGGGGGCTGCTGGGGAGGAGGGGGCCGTGGGGGAGGCGGAGCTGGGGCAACGGCGCGTGTGCCCACAGAGATGGCTCTGAGTGCCGCCTCTGGCACGCGTGCCATAGGTTCGCCACCACTGGTCTACATGATCCTTCCTTCCTTCCTTCCTTCCTTCCTTCCTTCCTTCCTTCCTTCCTTCCTTCCTTCCTTCCTTCCTTCCTTCCTTCCTTTTTATTTAATGAAGTTCCTTTATTGAAACTGGGATACATTACTAAAGGTATTGTCCAAAATAGATAAAGGTTTGGAAAATTCTGTTTCTAAAATCAGATCCCAAGGAGGCAGATGAAATCATGTTTATATCTAAATATTTTTAAAAATAGTATTAGTATATTAAATTGCTGAAGGGAGGCATGAATGAATGAAACTTTATCCCATATATAAACTGGAAGTATTAAAAAAACATGATACAGATAATAAACTCCTGTAAGGAGTGTTTACTGCTTTTCTTCATTTCATGCCATTTTTAGATACTCTGGTAGTGGCTATGGCTAAGAGTGCTTCTAACAAGCGTTAGCGCTTTCATCCTCTCCAGTCTTTTAATGAAGAAGGCGTATCAGGGCTGGGTTATCCATATAGTCATTTCTAGGTTGTAATATATTGTAATATTTGGGTATTTTCGGCTTTCTTTGAATATCCTATAAAGAACTACTCACAGTTGGTCTATAAGAAGATGATTTCCCTCCCCCCACACACACTAAATAATTATTTGTGGATGGGGATCTTACGCTCCCTGTAATTCTTAAAAGATTAGAAAATGTTGCTGAAAGTAAAAATGGGCAGGAAATATAACAAATTGCAGACTTTACTGCTGAAAAGTATTGGTGCCTTTGAAGATTAGCCATTTGGAAGAGCCTGTTTTCATGCTGAAATTTTAATATTCCTGACGAAAGCTATATTTTATTTCCTTTCCTTTGATCTCTTTCCCTGCCTACATTTATATCTAGTTTTGTTTCCCTCTTTCTCTCTACTTCCCAGAGCTGCTATTGCTGACCCTATCTCCATCCTGTGATTATTTTATCTTCTTTTTCCTCTTTCTTCTGGCATTACTTATAAAAGCTAATGCAGAATAATAAGCTCCTGTGCTGACCTTCTCTTCACATACATTGATTGCTCTGTCCAATTGCTCAGAGATTGCTATTATTCTATTACAGTGCCAATCTTTAAGAAAAGTAAAAAAAAAAAGCCTATTAATTTTTGTCCAGTCTTCTTGTTGTTAATAAATTATATAGCAAACATGTGTAGGGACCACATTGCTTGGCTAGAAGAAAAACAGGTCTTGGCTGGTAAAAGTTCAGGACAGAACATTCCAAATAGTCAATTGTAGACTAATCAATTATCCTAAACCATGTGGCAGAAATTTTAGATCTCTAAAAATTATAATGGAAATCATCAAACAATCTATGGATTGCAATCTTACTAGATTATTGCATTCTATAAAAATATGTACATACAAGTCAAATGTACAGTGAATAGAAGCGTTTCAGCCCAAATTCCCATTGTAAGAAGTTTTAAACAAGCCTCTTTTTAATTTAATATGTATATCAAGTTCCTAACAAGTATCTAACTTCTCACAAAATGTTCATCATCAAAAATGCCATCCCCCTATGCTAGCAAACAACCCATTATCTGTTTTTCTTTATGCAGATAATGTGATCATCCTCTTCCTGATACATGCTGACTTCAAAGTTAATGTTTGTTTACAGGTAGTCCTCATCTTACAACCATTTGTTAGTGACAGCTCAAACTTACAGTGGCGCTGACAAAGCGATTTGTGACAGTTTTTCACGCTTAACTGTCTCAATAATGGAAATTTTGGGCTTGATTATGGTTGTATATTGAGAAGTGCCTATATTGTAAGGAAGAAAAAAATAGAAAATAATTGTAGTAAAACAAAAGTAATTACATTAACAAAACAATGCATAAAATGTGTCATAAATAGAAAATCAAATGCAGTCAGTTTAAACAGATATTTACAGGTATTAAGAGAACTGAACTACAATTCCTCAGTATTGAAAAATGTAAAATAATTAGGAATTACATTTCATTCCTCTGCTAGAAAGAGCAAAAGGAAACTATTTCATCTTTGCACAAAAACCTAATCATTAAATTTGTCAAGCACTATGAAAATAATCACATTCCTTGTGGAATCACTCTTTTCAGGGCCAGAGAGCTGAGTTCAATGCACTTTGGCACACAAATTTATGTCTATAAAGATGAAAAAAAATGAAGGTAATTCAGTACAAGTTCTTAAGAGCAATTCTTCACTCACTGCGTTTCAGTGCAAGCTGAAGGCGGAGCTTGGTTGCATTATAGTGAAAACCCACGTGAGGATTTACTGATTGAAATACTAGTTAAAATTAATTTTGAGGGAGAAAAGTATCTATCCCAATTATTATACATTGAATCTAAGCTTGACTAATTAAAAAAAAACACACATAAGTTCAGCCTGATGTGGAATCTCAATTCACTGGGGTCTGGGTGGCCGTTATAAGAAATCACACTATGTATTCTGGATCTAGGTTTTACAGTAGGAGCAGAATTTCATATAACACTGGCCTGTGGAACAGGATTTACCTACTCTTTTAAATATTTATATATTTTCTCTGTCCCTCACAGAAGAACATATACTCTTGCCAGCTTTTGGCCTTTCCATCAAGGTTGTAGAAGGGAGGTAGACATGGCACTTTGTATTAATATCACTCCTGTTTATTAATTGCTTCAACTGTGCCAGGGAAGAAACACTTTTTTCTGTTAGCTGACAAATCCTTAAAAATCTCTTAAAAGCTAAAAAAAAAAAAAACACTCTTCCATCACAATCACTGTAATGAAGCTATCTAGAATTACATTCCAATAGATTCTTCCATGTCAAAAGATAATTAGCTGTGTTTTTCTCTTATTATTTTAATTTATGACGTTGGGTGTGCTGTACATAGACTGTTGGTCTATGGTCATGAATAAACTTTGATATTTAATGCGATACTTAATGCTATTCCTATTTCCTCTGGAAGTTGGAGAGAAGTCTTATCGTCACCATACTTTTCTCATGAGAGACGAGATTATGTATGAGATTGCTTGATTATGCAGATAGGAATCAGTTGCTTTCACTGGAAATTTTACCCAGTAGTATTTTATGCTTTGTTTTGCTTTGTTTTTGTCTTGACCCTCTTTTTGGGAGTGTAACTTTTAGCAGGAATATATGCACACATATGCCTGCGCAAATCTGTCACATTTTGGGAAATACGTTACATATATGCAGGTATGTTTTTCAGCTAGACTTAGCAACTCTAAATTAATGAGGGAAGCGTTCAACAATATATGAGTGTGCATGAATGTGCGTATAAATACGTGCATGTACATTCAATATGTCGGGGGACATATTCATTTGGGGGAATCATAATTTTTTAGGGAAATTATTTCTGTCCTTTAATTATTGGTTAAAGTTTTTTTAATATCTTGGGAGCAGGTAATCTCAAGAACTGTTCAAGTTCATAAATAATAGTAGAGCTAGCCAATTAAGATGAGCATAAAATCAGTGATCCTTTTCTTGGTCTCATCCTTTAGGATGAGTAGGTGAAACAAAAAATTTCCAGTGATACTATTGAAACTGAAATATTTCCTGTGAATATTTACTAGGCTGCTTCTATTTTTAGTTTTAAGATGCTTCTTAAGATATATTGCTTTTTTGTATTTTAATGTGTAGCTTTGATCTGTTTTATTTGCTGTATTCATCATTTAATTGGACTTTGCTTTAAGATCTCTGTTATATTTGCTGCATTATGTTTGTTAGAAGTCAAGTAGAGTTAATAAAAATAATTACTTTTATCTTTGTTACATTGTTTCTAAGGAGGAGACTATAAAGGATTCATCAGGTCAAGAGGATGAGACACAATCCTCAAATGGTGATCCAGTTTCATCTGTTGTACCAGAAATAATTCGTCCACGTCGTTGTAAATACTTTGATACAAGTATGTATTTTTTAAATCAGTTTTCAAACATTTTAAAAATGCATGGAAGTTGTACAAATATTTGGGCATTCCCATATGCAGTAAATGAACATCAGGAAAGCTAGAACCATCACAATGATGAAATCTGGAATTTTGAAACAGGTTGACCAACGCCTACTTTATGTAAGAAATTTGCACAAAAAGGCAATGATTTTTTTCTATATAGTTGAAATCTTCTGGAATATAGAAAGAGTCTCTCTTCTCAGTTCTCTAATATTTTAAAAGTATCTGCAAGGAGAAAATGTTTTCTTGTGGAAAGAGAATGTTTATGAACTTCAGAGCTCTTATCAACTGCTAGTTGGAGACAGTAAGAACTTTCTGTACAAATAAAAGATTGCCTTTTCCTTTCTTATAGAGAAAGACAATAGTTGCTGTTTGTCTTTACAGTGAAGGTACTTATCAAGGATAAATTGTCTGGGAGTGGGAGAATGATCTTTTCTAAAGTCTTATCTCTTGATATCATTGGATCTACTGAGGAACATACTAGAAGGCATTTTCTCTGTAAAGATAATGCTGGTTGGTATTCAAAACTTCTGAATTCTGTATTTGAATCTCAAGATCTACTGCCCTCCTTTCTAATACATTTCTGAGAAGAGTATAACCTGCACAATTATGTGTAAAAACATAATCCAGGTATATAGCACACATGATGCTATTACTGCATTCAAGTGAGAAAATCCTCTGTGCTCCGAGAGAGAGCATTTCTAAGTGCTGGATAACTTTTTTCTTGTTTGCTAGTGAGATAAGCTCTGAGCACTGTCACACTAAATATTGAAGAGAGGTAAAAGTGGCTGGCAGATTTGTTAAACCAGAGATTCTCCATTTTTTATATTCACAGCTAATATTTGGAAATAGAGGCTTAGCTGATATTGCTCTAATATTTATATTTGTCTAATGCTAAGAATTTTAACTAGCTTTTCTTCCATTACTGCCTGTTTTTTTGCCTAGCTTATATTTGTACTTACATATACGTATGTATGAGCAAAAATGCTGTTAACATACAGTTAATGAGTCCAAAAAATGCAGCAAAATAATTTGGTATGGTACCAAAACTAATATATGACATGGTAATTTTTAATCTACAAATCTCTGCTTCAAAATGCCATTTGTACTTTGTGTATGGAATTTGTGGGATGATGAAATGATTACATAAAATTATTTTACAATAAATTGCTTAGCTAATATATTCTGAAACATTTGTATACATCCTTCTAAAGTATATCCCTGAAAAAATATAGTTAACTTTTAGCTGTGTGGACAAATTCTCCCCGTTCTTTATATGAAGAAGCATTTCTATTTTTTAAAGTATTTTTTAAAGTATTTGCCTCTGACAAAAGCTTGTTTTATATTTTAATGCTGCTTTTTGTGACTTTCAAGATATAGATGTTCTTAAGCAACGTCTTGTTGAATGTACCAGCTCTTTAGCAATGCTATTTACCTAAATAAATATATTAGAATGTACATTTTTAAATATTTTTCAAAATTGGAAACCTCCTAGCTAACCCTAGTTCAGAGTATTATGAGTCAGGACATACCAACCACAATTAGTCACACAGAGTTGGTTGTGACATCACAGTTCAATATTTAATTAACCAACCAGATATGGGACTTGAAAAATCTTGTCTGTAGAAAAATAGTTTGTTTGAAGAAATGTAAATTCAGGATAGCTATCCCTATGTAAGTGAAAGTTGTTAATTTTTTTTAATATAGATAGTGAAATAGAAGAAGAATCTGAAGAAGACGAAGACTATATTCCTTCAGAAGACTGGAAAAAAGTAAATATGAGCTTTATGATAAACTGTCAACATAATATGACTATTATACAAATTAATTTGTGGGAAAAATCATTCCTAACATTATGAGTATTCAAAGCTCCTTATGAAGCTAGTCTCAGCTAGTTGGGGCTCAAGGAACCTTTACAGTTAAGCTATTCGAAGATTATATTTGAATGATCTCACAGACTAGGTGCTTTGCCCGAAGATCTGAAGCATGCAGCTATAGTTTATTTAAAAAATTCTAAATCTTGTTATTTAAAATGTATTGAACATTTAAGAGGATTCAGTTAATACAGCAAGATTTTGGGAGGGGGGGGGTTTGGAAAAATGTTATTAGTTACATATGCAATTTTATTATGTTTCATTGGAATTTCCTCTCTCCCCCCCCCTTTTCTTTATCCGAATGATTGTAGCTGGAAAAAAAAATTCATTGTTGTGTCTGCCTGATAACTAGTGGCCAGGTTGAAAAGCTTGTTCTGACTCAGTGCAGTTTTTTGTTTTTAATCTGACATTCAAGGGGTAACAGTTTGGTTTTGCGGATAAACTGGATCATTTATTACTTAAGTGTACTTGCCTCATACAACAAGTCAGAATTCCAGAGTCTTTTCTTATTCATGAGCAAGGAAAGCAAAGGAAACCTTAATTTTATATGCAAGTAATCTGCTTTGCCACTTTCTAACTAGACACAATCTGAAGTTGTGGTTTATAGTTGTTGCAAACTCTTTGCATTTGGCAGCAGCAAGTTCAGAATTTGGATCGAAACTTAGCTTGTCCTTTTTTTCTGAGTTCCTGATTTGGGAGCTACTTGGCAGTTTTTGAAAAAATGCTATAGAATCTGGAATTTTTATTGGCACATTTGGTTATTATTAAGCCCATGTAATAGTTTACATTGCATAAAGAAGTCAATATATGAACAAATATACTTATTTCATACTTTTAAAATGTTTTTTATTCCAATTGGTATTTGACTGTCTTTCTAGTTATTGAACAGTATGGTGTTTGATCTATGATTACAGATGATTTATATTTTTTTCCAAACAGGAAATCATGGTGGGCTCCATGTATCAAGCTGAAATTCCGGTTGGTATAGCTAAATATAAAGAGAATGAGAAAGGTAAAGTAATTGGCAATTCGTTTTAATTAAGGTTGCAATTAAGATTTTAGGCGAGTTCTTGAGGCGTTCACTTCAGTAAGGTTGATGTATAAAATTCTTGCAATTCATAAAGAATTCATAAGAATAAGGTATAAGATATAAAAAACATACAGGGAAGCTTAATATTTATTCATACAGTGGAAATTATATGTAGAAAATAGAAGCTAGCTTTGAACATCATTTTAAACAAATTAGTTTGTTTGCCTTGTGTTTCTAATACTTTTAAATTAAATTAAATTATGTAAACTGAAACCACTTTGATTTATTTAAAAATATGGTTAAACAAACTGGCTCAGATATACAGACACACATATACAGACACAGAAGAGCAAGGAATGATTCAAACACTTGTGCATGGTTTCCTTACCAGTTACAAAACCGGATTTCCCATTACCAGGTGCAGGCCTTTCTGTTGCATCTCCCATGTATGTAACTTCAAAATTCCTAATATCCCACGAGTTACTGATTAATAATATCTCAAGCCATCAGTTCAACAGCACAATCCTATGTATTATAATTGAATGGAGTGGAGCTTACATAGAAACCAGCCTAAATTATAGCAGCCATAATAGTGAAACATTTTTTTAAGAAATTGTAGCTGTGGTGCTTTGGTGGTTGCAGAAACTCTAAGAACAAATTGGTTGAGCAACTCCAACACTTCCTGGCAGTTGGAAAGTTGGTATAATCTGCAAATGTAATGTCATTAGAAATCAAGTTTGCACTTACCTGGAACTGGATGAAATAAGTAAAAAAAACAAAACAAAAAAAAACCAGGATGAGGCATTTTTCTGAATCTCTTTGCTAGAGAAAATGCTTTTCTCTTTAATTCAGGTCTCCTATTTTTCAGTAATATTTTAAAAAATCAGAAATTTATGAACTGTCTTAGAGGCAAGATAAAATGCAAAGAATTATCTGATCTCTAAGTAATGTTAGGAAATATGTAATTATCTGTCTCTAATTTTAGTGTATGAAAATGATGATCAATTGCTATGGAATCCAGATTACTTGACTGAAGATAAAGTGATTGAATTCCTTAATGAAGCCTCCAGGCGAATAGGCGATGAGAGAGGAATTGATGCAATTCCTGAAGGATCCCATATTAAAGATAATGAACAGGTATATCAAATATATGGAAAGCTTCATTTGCCAACAGAGCTTTCCCACTGGCTACAAATCCCCCAATCCTCCTGCTTATTTTGCTACCTACATTTTTGTTAAAATTTGCCCTGGAGGGTTGTGAGCTGTCCAGAACAATGTGGTTGATGAAAAGAGACAGAAAATCGGGAAAAATTGGTTCATTTTTTCCATCAGAAGAGGCATTTTAAGCAGGCTACTCCTTCAGGATGTTCCTGTCAGAGGAATAATATTCTATATCCAATCCCTAACATTTTAGAACATCTTGAAGAGATGATTTGGAATTTTTATATTAGCTATAGAAAAACCTGGAGGTCGAAGTTCATATTGCCTGAGCTCTGTCATTTTTAACATTAGAATTTTAAAACACAAGTCTAAGATGACAATTTGGACTTCTTCTTTTGCAGGCTTTGTATGAATTAGTGAAATGTAGTTTTGATACAGATGAAGCATTAAGAAGATTGAGATTTAATGTAAAAGCAGCCCGAGGTATGTATGATTTATTTTTGTTTAATGTGTTTCACTATTGTGAATTTCTACATCTTTTTTTAAATTTGTTACATTTATACAAACACACACACACATATATAGACACAGTGACTTTCATACTTAGTTTAGTTGAATATTTTATTCTCTTAAACTTCAGCTCTGGTGTACACATATATTGCAGTAACCATATTTTCCTTCTGGTAGATATGGAGAAAGAGTTCATCTGAAGATTCCATGTAATTGGGGTGGTGGAGGAGGTGGGACGGGAAGAGGACAGGGAAGACCTAATTCATAGCACATCTTTTGCTGTGGAGGTATTTCCATACTACCTTGGTTATCTTGAAAACTAGTATAGCGTAAAAAAGATAATGATGGCAAATCATGGCATTGTATTTTCACAGTGCAATGATTTCTGTAAGTCTGTATGAATGTGAAGAGCTTCTGTGCAGAAAAGATTTTGTCTGCTCTGAAAATGAAAAAGGACAGAAAGGAAGGAGTGGTCCTTTTCTAGATTCTGCTTTCTAAACCAATTAACCCCCAACCCTACCCTAGGAAATAAATTAGGCAGGAAGACGCTTACAATACGAAGCATTGCTCACTTTCCCCATGTACTCTAACTTCACTATAAGGAGCTTCCCCGTTTCCAAAATACCTTTATCTAAATAAAATGTCACATCTGTACCAAACATATGAGACATGTTATCATTTTTAATACTTAAGAATTCATACATAGACTAAGCATTCATACATAGACTTCCTTCTTTGACTTGAAGTTCTTATTTATGTATTGTATTATTTTAATTCAGAGGAGCTGTCTGTCTGGACAGAAGAAGAATGTAGAAATTTTGAACAAGGTTTGAAAGCTTATGGAAAGGATTTTCACTTAATCCAAGCAAACAAGGTTAGTAACTTGTATAATGATGAAAGCCTTATAAGGTGGCGGATTTCAATTTGCTTTCTCTCAACACACAGAGTTAGAAGAGGCTCAGTAGTTCATGGCCATCATGGTAATGACAGAAATGATCCATGTTACTGAAGGCCTAAGTAGCCTGAATATAAAATACTTATTTTGTCTCTGACCTGCAAACCTAAAATTGCCTTTCCAGCTGTTCCAGTTTGGAAAGTTAATTTGAATGAAGTCACATTTTTATTGTAATGAAGGCAATACCTCGACTTACAACCATTTATTTAGTAAGTTTGAATGTCTGTAGAAGTTCTCAGTCATCCAGGTCATGGTTGTCCCAAAGGTGCTTTTTTCAGGAGGCAACTGAACTTTCTTGTGTTTCTTTTGAAGACGTTTCGCTCCTCATCCAAGAAACTTCTTCAGCTCTGACTAAATGGTGGGAAGGATTTATGTTGCTTGCAGAGAGATGGTAATTTGTATTCCTTTAGAGAGTCATTGAAACCATCTGGAGGTTTACCTGTGTCCTCAGGGTCACCTGAGTAGTGCAGATGTGTGTGGAGCCTAATAAGTTTGAAGTTGCAACAGCACTGAAAAAAGTGACTTCCAACCGTTTTTCGCAACGACCGTTGCAGCATTCCGGTGGTTATATGATCAAAATTTAGACAGTTGGCAACTGGTATATATTTATGATGGTTGCAATGTCCCAGGGTCATGTGATCATCTTTTGCAAATTTCTGGCAAGCAAAGTCAATGGAGAAGCCAGATTCACTTAACAATCATGTTATTAACTTAACAAGTGCAGTGATTCACATAACAACTGTGGCAAGAAAAGTCGTAAAATGGGGCAAAACTCACTTAACAATTGTCTTGCTTAGCAATGGAAATTTTGGGCTCAATTGTGGTGGTAAGTCAAGGACTACTTGTGTTATTGCTTAGTTTTACTCTAATATGGCACTTAAAGAGTGCTTTTAGCTTTGACCTCATGAGGCCTCAGTATGACAAATGCAGTTATTCTCAGTTATAGAATGTTATGATCCTTTAACAGATTGAATTTTCCTTGCCCATATTAACAGTGATTATCACTGATCACCAGTGGCTATCACTTAACCGTCATTAAGATTGAGGTTGACCATGTTGCCACATAATCACTTTCCATCCATCTTAAACAGAGAATCTTGTTAACTTTAACCATGCTTAAATTTAGGGTTAAGTTAGAGCCCTGGCATTACCATGTGCCAATCTTAGAAAAGCTGTTAAATCCCATTTCGCCCATAGCATCCTACAATGCTGATGCATGTCCTACTCCCCTTATGTTACCCAGTTGGATCTTCAAGCAGTCATTATTTAATGTTTAGCAGTACCTTTAAATTGAATTATTTAAAGCAGACAGGGGCATTATGGAGAAATTACTACGGCTCCTTATCTTTGAAGTGCTGCTGTCAAATCATTGGCTCTAATATGGTCAGTGTATCAGGACATTTAATATTGATTGCATCTCTCAAACCCTTTTGTTTATACTATTACACTATTTGATTGCAGTTCTAGTGGCTTATGCAATTGTGGCACTAATTCTATTGGGCTATACAGTAGTTTTATTGAGATTCAGTTTCTTTGATTGTACAGAATTCTGTTTGTCTCTTTAAAAGCCTTTGCACCCCAGAAAGACAATTCAGTGTTTTCTAAGGCTGTTAAGACTTTTGATTTGCCTCCTGCTTACAATCCATTGTTGTTGTCAATTAGCTAAAATATTGAGTTCTTCTTTTTTCCCCTCCCTTTCTTAGCAAGAATTCAGTTATTAAAAAAATCATGATTTTCTGTGTGTGTTATTTCAAATAATTCTTCATCACATCTACTCCATGACAGTGGAATTCTTCTCCAGCAAACTCAACAGGATTTTATTCTTTAACAGAAGCAGTGTTTTTTTGTTCCCTGATTAAAAAACTGATTTGCCTGAGATTTGACTTACAAAGGTCTATTTTTGATTATTGTTTGCATTATAGTTCTACTATCTTATTCTAGCATTATTTAAGCAAATGAATATGTAGGCAAGATTAGAGTACCAGCACAATCATGATGATGATGTTAGTGGTGATATGCAGTTGTCAAGTATTACAAAGTCAAAAAGGGGGGTTGCATGATGTTTGAGAGGAAAAAAAAATAAAGAGCAATTTATTATCTGCTGGCTTATCTGTATTGAATATTCCCTTTCCTATAGATATGTCCTTTAATGTGAATTTTATATTAAAGTAGATTTTATTCTTGGTGTGTAATAAACACAGGTACGAACAAGATCTGTCGGAGAGTGTGTAGCATTTTACTACATGTGGAAAAAATCAGAACGATATGACTTTTTTGCTCAGCAGACAAGATTTGGTAAAAAGAAGTACAATCTCCATCCTGGTGTAACGTAAGTCTTGTTGATTATTCGTTTGTTTCCTCATTGTACTAAAATAATTTGTTTTTTAAAAATGACAGTTTTTTTAATTAATTAGAAATGAAAGTGTTTCTAGTCATCAATCTGAATGCCACTTTTGTATTACATTAGAATATTATGTTGTCTTCTCAAAAGTACAGATGCTATTATTGAAACTGCAACTTTATCCTTTATATCGAAGATCCAGATTATATGTCTCATTTTCCCACAAATGTGACCTATATTATAACTGATAAGGAATATCAGTTTGGAAAAGTATAAGAAAAGTAATTGAATGAAAATTTCAACTGAGATTCCTCTGATCTGAATCTAGGATTACACTCATCTTCTCTCTTTTGTAAAAACATTATAAAAAGGGAGGAGCTTGCTAAGTGTGCCAGTTACCTCAAAAAATTCTGTGCACATTTATGCACAGAAATAACCCCAAGTCACCTAGGAATAAAACAAAAAAAATATAGACAATAGAGACAATAAATAAAAGGATCATAGAAATAGTTTAAAAACTTCAGTAGCTTGGCATAGAAATGTTACTTTAGGCAAGCCTTTGTAGTATTGTTTATAATAAATCTCCATTCAAAATTTAAAATGGATTATTCTTTGAATGTCTTAAATGGACACTTTCTACTAAGGTGTATCATATTAGAATGATGCCTTAGGGCAGGGGTGTCAAACTGCCGGCCCACGGTCCGGATGCATCATGCCGAAACCGTGCCCACCCCATTGCCGGCAATGGAAAAAAGTCGTGATATATCGTGACACGTCACATGACGTTGCGAGTTTGACACCCCTGCCTTAAGATTACTGGTCATTTAACAACCACAGTTGGAACTGGCAACTCCATCACTAAGTGACATGGTTGTTAAGAAAGATATCACATGATCATAATAGGTTTATAATATCACTTTCTCTATGGTTATTAAGTGAATCACGTTATTAGGCAAGACTTCATATGACCACAACTTGCAATTTTATAGCTGGCGTCTCCATTGACTTTATTTGTCAGAAGTCAACTGTGAGACATGCAGATGGAGATCATGTGACTGCAAGACACTGCAACAGTCATAAATGTGAAGACCGATTATAAAGTTATTTTTTTAGCCCCACCATAATTTTGAACAATGACTAAATAGGGCAGCCATTAAGTGAGGGCTGGCTGTATTCTCTAGTACTTTCAGCAAGAAATAGAAATCATAAGCAAATCATATGCCAAGTTGTAAACAAATTAATTGTTGAATTTCAAAACAATTATTGAATTTCTAGGGTTTTACTCTATTATTTTTTATCTTAATACATATTCATTGAATTTGAGCTTTTTATCTTAAGTACGATAATAGAACTTGCTTAGATCATATATATCACCATGCCATTTATCTGGTTTTGCTTTAGCATAATATGATTTAATATATGTGCAAACCAGGCAAATTTGTCTTCTTCAAAAAGAACTATGGTTTTAAAATCTTGGCTTAGCATTAGGTGAATGCAGATTGTTCAGTGTAGGACTTCAAGTGAAGCATATTTGAAGAGCAAATTTCTTGATCATTTTTTTAAAGGGACTACATGGATCGTCTTTTAGACGAAAGTGAAAGTGCGGCATCCAGCAGAGCTCCTAGCCCTCCTCCTACAACTTCCAATAGTAGCACCAGCCATTCAGAAAGAGAGGACAGCACAACCAGCAATAGTAATCAAAATGGTAGGTAAAATACCTTCTTCCATCTAAATTCCCTAAGGTGCATTCTTTAAGCCAACGAAGTACATTTTTGCAAGTAATTTTCATCTAATTTTAATTTTTTCTTCTTTACCTTTTTCTGTTTGTGTCATTTGTTAAGATGGAAGCTACAATATTCAATTCTGCAAAAATGTATTTGGGGTCAGAAAAATACATGGCTCATGTACAGACTGCAGCCTCTTAATGACAGGATTATCTTAAATATTTTATTTATTTGTCTGTTAGATTCATATCTTACCTTTCTCAAAGAACTGAAGTGTTGGTGCTCCTTCTATCTCTTGTTTTCCCCTAACTCGTCTACTGTGGAGTAGCTTGGACTAAGAGAGAAAGATTAGCCAAACCTTCCCTTGAAATTTCCATCACTAAGGGTAAATTTAAAACTGCATTTTCCCAGCCCCTAATGTAACATCTCAATGCAGTTCCAGAAATAATAATATTAAGTAAGTAGAAGCAGGGGAAAATACATACCAGATGGCATACCTTATTTAAATGCAAAGAAATTTAAATCAAATTTAGTATGGGTTATGATGTCATCAACCACTTTTGTAGTGTGTCACTCAAACTATTTAAAAGCTAAATAGTTACAAATTGGGCGAATATGCATTCTGTATATAAGTTTTATGGTTTGTTTTTTTTAAGATGGTAGTTCTTTCTTTTCTGTTTTATATTCTCTTTTCTTTCTAGGTGTATCTACTAATGGGCCAAGTGAGTTATCAAATAAAGATGACATGAAAATTGAAGGACTGCACATAAATGGACCAACTGGCAAAAAAACGCAACTTGTAGATTTTGATACAAATGGTTACGAACCCGAAAATCTTTCCAATCATTCTAAACTTCCTCATTCAAATACAAGGCATGATCTTGAAGATACAAATGAAAGGCCTGTGAAAAGGAGAAGAATCAACAGCAGTGACAAAGAGTGCCCAGCTTCCTCTGAAAATTTCCAAGAAACAGTGGCCCATGGGAATTGTGAAGACCAGGACACTGTGGGTGACTGAACACATTTCATTCAAATAATTGTATGGGATGTCTGCATTTTCAGGGTTAATAGGTTCTCTTTACAGATTCAAATCCCATAAAATAATTTATGGAGATTTTGAAATACATTTTAATTGCTTCCTAATCCTAGCCAAGGTTACAGTATACCTTTTAAAATCCTGAAATGCAGATATAGCAGGAGGGAGAACTTTCTGTCAGAGAGCCCGTTGCTATAGAATTGATTTGAGAGTTGTGGGTTTTTTAGGCAAATTTCTTTAGGTTCCTTCAGGGCACTAACCTGTTATATGTAAATTATACTTTGAAAAATAGCTTAAAATTCCCAAGCAGAATTGATAAAATGGAAGTGAAAAAAGAAGCAATACTGAACAGTTAAGGAATGCCGGTAAATCCTGAAAGTTGCATGAGAATTCATTGGTGTGTGTGTATGTATATGTGTGTCAACGTGTGGGCATATGTATATATGTATACATATGTGTGTGTGTTTATCTGTGTATATACATATACATATATATATATATATATATACACATATATATGAATGAATTATATTTTAAAAATAAACCAAGAGGTTTGTATGTAAAATTACTGACATCAGTGATGTCTTTCCATATTCTTATCTGGAAATAAGAAATACTTTCTGTATTTTTCCAGATTTTGTAGCCTTTGAAAGATTTTTGCAATACTAAAAAGTGTGTAATTTTCATAACTTGTACAGTATGGTAAATTTTTGATCTTCTGAGAGTTGATCTGAGGATTTGTCAGCTTCACTTTATTTTGCTAAAGCCTTTTTTTATTAATAAAAGTCATGTTTCAGAAAGCAGTAGAAATTTTAAATATTTAAATTGCTTACCCAAATTAAGAATATCAGAATTTTCAAACTTTTATCTTGGGACAAATGGTGACTTAAAAGTTTTTAGATTAGCATGATGCTATGATTGCACAAGTGTTCTTGCTTATAATTGTTTTTCAGATTTCTTTTTATGAGATAAGAGTCTAAAAATATCAGCTAAAGGCTTTAATGTTGCTAACTCTTGTTAGTCAAGGTCATCCATTACCTTATTTATCAGTTTATATGTACATTTTGGTGAGCACAGTAGAATTAGGAATTGAATTAATTAAATCTGGCTACCTTGATGAGGAACAAACGCTTAGCCTGCATGCTGTGGGTCCTTATGCTGCATCCAACAAATCCATGGATTAACTGCTTCTGAGGAAGTAGTAAAGTGTGGGTAGTAGTTATTATGGCGTGTATGTGTACTAATATGCATGGATTTGAGGTACTGTAAGGGTTGTTAACCTTCTTTACATTTGAAACAAATCCTTGTCAGTCTGGGAATAGTTTCAGTAGTGTCAGTTCCCATCTATAAAAGGATTTGGATTATGGCCATAATGAAGGTTTACAGAATCAATCACTCAATGACATATAAAGTCTTTCATTTTTTTGTTGCCACTTTGGCTATATAAAACAAAGTTAACCATGTGCTCGTCTTGGGGCTTACTTGAAATGTTATAATTATATCTTCAAGTTGATTTGCTCATTTAATGATTTGGCAAAATAAGAGTTGATTTTAATTATTTAGTCCACTAGTCTTTTAGATTGTCCCAACACAATTTTGTTGCTAGTTCCTGGAAATATCTTTTTTTTTTTAGCCTTCTGCTTTCTCATGAAACATTTTTGATGAATTCCATGCTTTAACATTATAGGACTAGTATTTATTGTCTGTTGCTTACAAGCAGTATAACATGTATAGATGAAATATTTAATCTTTTAAATTTTACTGCTTTGGGGAAAGTGCCATGGCTGACCAAACCCAGTTTTGTTAATATGAAAATCCAAAGTTTTTGTAGCCTCGTATCAAAGATTATGTTTTAAAAAGTATATCAAAGCAAGGCAGTGCAATGCTTTTAGAAACCTTATTGCAACTTTTGAAGGCCTATTTTCTGTTCCTTGTCTGTATTTTTGCAGGGTGGAAATGCTTGCAAGACTGTTCATAGGAAAGTTTATAAATATATTGTTCTCAGGCTTGTAAGTAAAATATAGCACTGTGTACATTTTTTTAGAAACTTTACTTTGGTCTTTAATCTTACCTTTAATGGTATGCCTAAGAAAATCCTGACATTCCATACTCAATATGTAATGCTCAGCTGTTTTTAAGTATTTAATTGTAATGTACATCTCATTTATGCAGGTGTTTATACAATATTTTATTCATGTTCTTTAAAATGCAGCCACTATAACTTGATAAAGACATTGCACTAGTAGTACTATTTAAAAAATCTTGTAATTTAGCAACCAGTTCAAACAGCTTTTAGTGCAGTTTGGAAAAGATGAAACCACATTGCTTCCAAATTGGTCTGAAAAGTCAGTACAGCTTTGTATAGTGATTGTAATGTATATTTTAAGCACTATTGTGTCCTGATCCATAAAGTGCATTGTATGCAGTCTGAATCAAACCTTCAACTCAACAGGCCTGACTGTTGGCTTTATAAAGGGTTTAAAATGATATTTTGAAAGAAATCAAAAAAAATTGCAAAGTAGTTTTTATAAATTTTTCACATAGTAATTTTGCACTGTTGGTAATTCCTGTGTCTCTTACCTAGCTCCCTGTCTGCAATTCTGGAAAAGCTTATTAAAGTATTTTTTTAAACATATTGCTTATATAAATACAAATATTGAGTACTTAAGAGTGGAATTTGTTTCTTTTAAGAGAATGTGAAAATGCTGCTTAATAATATGGGAGAGAATACTTGAATTGTTCAATAATAGTTTTAGCAAACCTTTGCACTTCGAAATAAAATTCTGTACTTCACACTAGTTTCAAACTAAACTCCAGATATTTAATGACAATAGGGTTTTTTAAAAAAAACAAAAAACAATTAGGGATAAACTGAGATGTATACATTCTTGCTGTGAAATTAGAACTGTAATATCTAAGTCTGAATATTTTTGTTGAGGGTATTTACCAATAAAATATAATCATTTCTTGACATACCACAGAATATAGAGCTGAATTAATTGTTGTAATAAAAAAGATCGCTATTAGAAGTATTGAGAAATTACTAGCCCAGATAGAATTTGTTTCTTAGATTATAGATTATTTTTAAATACATTCATATCTTCAGTAAAGAAAAATGAAAAGTTGTAACAATGATTTAATAAATAAGGAAGAGTTTGGTAAAGCCAGGATCTTATAAGGCTATATTCATATAAGTACAAATTTAAAAATTATAGTGCTTGGAGTTAATATGATGTTAGGAAATTATAAAAGAAAATCAAACAATTTTTATTTTATGATCATTTGCATGGAAAATCAGTAAAATGCTAAACTATGTCTTGGTTCTATTTTATATAAATTATGTTTAGATAAAATAGAAACAGGAAATAAACAACTTTAAAGAATGACCTGTAATCTTCCCATTTTGATGTCCTCCAACTATTTTGAATGACACCACCAAATTGGCTAGACATGATGCAATTATAGTATAGTACAATAGGGTTTCATGCAAGGTTGGATATATTGGCAGAAAACAAATTATTTTAGGTAGAATCTAGTACTTTCCACCCCCAAAAGTACTCTTTAGTTTATTCTCAAGGGTTGTCACAGGTACCTACAAATCTAAGCATTCAATAAAGATGGAATAATGGAATATGATTATTGTGATTAAGATACGATGGTTAATAATTAAAAACATTAATACCATACATGTGAATGGGAGAACCAGTATAGTAATTTTGACCAAAGAAACTTCATCTTGGTTAAGAGAAGAAATAATACTCAGATATAAGGAGAGGCGGGAATAATCTTTATTCCTTTTTTCATTTTTTATTATAATTAGATGATGCAATCAAGACTTCTCCATTATTCAAGCTTGTTGTCTTGAGATAAAATATAAGTTAGCTAAATATTTTTGCTGGTGTGTAAAGAAACAATAATATAGACCTGGAAAAGTTTTAAATCATTCTAAAGTATTAAAATTTCCACATACATACAGAAATAGGGACATTATTTTTAAAATAACTATTATATATCACCCTTGAGTCAATCCTGAGTTCATGGAGACATCTATAGTTTTCTTGGCCAACAGTAGAGAAAGAGTTTGGCCTTTTTAAATGCATTTATTCATCTGTTAAATGTATAGCCTCAGTTTTTCCCCAGAAGTTTAAGGTAGTAAATTTACACTGAGTGATGTTTTATTGAAACAACAGTCTTATGAGGTAGGTTGGACTGAATGGTTGTTTAATAACACGCTGAAGGTCAGCCTGAACAGATTTCTTTGGGCCAGCTCAACCACTGCATCGTAATTGCTAATATGTGATGAAGAGATGCTTTTATTCACATATCCTAGCAATATTTTCTCAATATTAAAAAACATATCTATTTTTGAGGAGTAGAGAGATAACAAAGTCCTTGAAGTGGCAAATACCAACTTAGTATGGGGGAAGACAACTCAAAGCTTTCTCATATATTTGTCACATTTCAGTGCATCCAACTTGCCTCTCTCAGCCCAACTCACCTCACAAGGTTGTTGTGGAGAAAATAGGAGGAAGATGTGCTGAATGTTTACCACCTTGAGTTATTTGTAAAAAAAAATACTAAATACAGATAATGACTAGTTTCACAAAGGAGGCAACTACTATTGAATCTGTTACACCGTTAGAGTTCACTAAAAAGTGGTGCCAAAGCCTAAGATAATTAACAGTATATTTAAAGTATAGTATAACTACATCTATTGTCACTAAAATATTGAAGTCTTATAAAAGCCAGAACAAAAAAATGTAAATGGAGACATTCTTGATTTATTTAAGCCAGTACAAAAATACATAGCACATAAAAGTTATACAATAAAAATGTTTATTCCTAATGCTGGATTGCTCTATATAGGAAAAATAGTAACAGGAAGTTTTAACAGTGTAGAAAATAAAACTATTAAGACTTGCTTACCTAGGCAGTATATATATTTTCTAAAACTTGGCACTAAAAATGTGTATATTACAAAAAAGCAAATCAACTGAGAACTATTTTATATGGCAGTAAATCTATCCAGTAGATTAACATTTTCTCTAACAAGTACCTGAGCGCAACTGCCTCAGTAGAGCAAGTTAACAAAAATACAATAATTTGACTGAATTATGAGAATTTCAGTCTAACAGCATCCCTTATTCTACATGTTTATTTGCATAAATTGTCCATAAGCATTTTATGAGAATTTTGGTGCACAGTATAATTAAGGTAACAGTAGACCAAGGCAGCTGTGTGCTAAGTAATCCATTTTTTAGCCTGCATTACCTAAATGCTACCATTATCTACTTAACAAGCCAGCATAAGTAGACAAGAAAATATATTCTACTGTAATAGATCCCTTTAATCTACTTTCAAAGTCAAGACAATTCATTCTTCTAAATAGCTGGCAGGTGCAAAATCTAGAGTTAATATTTTGATTAAAATATTGGTTCTGATAATTGATTTACAGCAGTTGGAGAAACTACACTTCTCTTTATGTAGAACTGACTCTTCTGTGAACTCCGGAACCACCAACAATCATAGTGTTTAAATTCAGTGGCAAAGCAATAATAAATGAAGGAATGATCTTCCATGATTTAGAATTGATAACAAAAAAATGTAAAGGCAAAAGATGATTTAACACATCTTAGGCAAAGGGGAAAAAAATCTGCACACCCAAATTCCACTATTTCCTCCTCTCCCCCCCCCCCCAATTGTTGCTGGCTAAGACATCATTTACCCAAAAGAAAAACATGGAGCCTGTGACATTTAAAAAGTTGCTGCTTCTTGCTTGAATCAATTTACTCTCCTCCTAAATGGACAATAGTCTAGTGACCAAAGGTTTCAAAGCTATTAGCTATTGCTAATGACTGGAAGGGGTTTCTCATTATGTGGAGAACAGGGCTTTCAAATCACAGTAAACCTACTGTAAGACCATTGTAAGATTTGCACATGTAGTTCATCCCTCAAAACAGCAATAAATCTGCAACATTATGAAAGAGTATTTCTGAGGCTGCAAAAGGCTCAAGATCATCATGTGGCTATGAAGCTCCAGGATTCTCTTTTCTTGCTTTATGTTAGATTAGACTATTCCAGAAAAACTATTAGAGTTACCCACTCTGCGTACTGCAAGTACGCACTCTGAAATTCTGTGTTTACTTTCAACAGTTTAAGGCTAAAAGAATGTATTTTAAAGTGCGCCAAACAATCTGTGCGATCTCAGAGAGCAACTTACTACTGCAATAGGATTTCTTGTTAGAGTTGTTGCAATGTCCAGCATATAGTTCTTTGTCCCTCCACTAACAAAGTCATAAATATGCAAAACAGTAATAATTACATGCTAAATAATGTCTCCAGTACACATAATTCGGATTTTTGGTGCCAGATCGGAAATGACTGCATATTTATATTTAACACAGAATATGTAAAATTTACCTGTTTCACAGACTTCATTTTAGAGTTAAATTTAACTCACAAAGCAATTAAGGGCATAACTGTATCTTACATGCAAGATCATGGAGATAGGAAAAAACAGGCAGGACAACCCGAGGCCAACTGAGTGGGGCAGGATAAAATTACTTCATTTTTGTTAGTGTCATATGATAATTTTGGTACCCACACTTCCTCAGGCTTGACAATCATGAACCAGGTAGAAAGGAAGAAATTCACTTACAATCTCAGCTTCTTGGATGAGAAATCTTTTACATTCTGATAATTTTAGGATTTAACTTTATTTCTTTTTAAAATACAGAAAAATTGTAATGCTTTAAAAAAATTAATAATTGAAAGGCGTGTAAGTTTTATTAAAAGGCATAAGCTTTTATGAATTGTAGCTCACTTCACTGGATGCATGAAGTGAATAAACAGATGAAGCATTTGAAAAGAAAATGCAGCAAGTGGAGGAGAAAAGAGTAGTTATGCACATACAGGTTACATGTGGGACATTATCAATTAGTAATAGCAATGTATTAAAATCACTTGTGTTTGTTAAACCTTAGATAGCTGAAGATTTTTTATGTGAGATGATCCTGCAGTTTTGTTTTAAAATTGCAAATATGAGCTACAATTCATGAAAGCTTGTGCCTTTTAATAAAGTCTTGTTAGTAAAAAAAAAAAAAAAAAAAAGTCCTACCAACTATTATAAATTTTTGGCTGCCAAACTCACAGAGTTCTCCTTTACAATGTCTTTAATGTTTAAAAGAGCTTATTATATTTTGCAGTCTCACTATGTACCAGGCCAGGAATTTGTGTGGTTCACTGAGTCAAATAAACTGAAGCTAGGTTTTCTTTAGAGAAAAGCAAACTGGATTTCATTCAGCAGAATATTTTGCTTTGAGCCATTTTTCAACATGGTCTGAATTTGACAGATAGTGCTTTAAAATTCAGAATTTTCTGGATAAACACACTCTAGATATCTACACTCACTCTCAGGGTGAGTGGCATACAATAGGGCAACTGATAATAGAATATACTATCATTTCTTTTAAAGACTTGTGTTGGAGACATTGTAAATCTGATTTGCTTTGCAACAATACGAAGACCTCAAACAGATAGAAAAGCTTCATTTGTAAGTCTGGTGAGGCTCCTTTGAAAACAGCTTCTACCACATCAATGTAAACACCCAGGACTGCACTTACCTCAAAACGGAAGGGGCCTGTTGAATGATTTAGCAAAATATGTGAACCCATTTCAAAAAGCAAGCTAGAGATGATAGACTGGGGGTATAAGAAAGAATAACTTCCAATAGCATGCTTTTCTATGTCCAAAAAGCTTCAATAAAAGTTTGAAAAAAATATTTTTTTCCCCAGAAATAAATGTGCATTTCAAAACACTTAAATCACAGAAGGGCAAACTCTCATTTATAACAATCTTTTAAAAAGCTATAACCTTTAAAAAAAGCAAGTGATGAGATTTTTCTTTAAAAAAGCACACAGATTGCATAGAAAAAAGCTAAGTAAATAAAAGAAAACCTTTTACTGGGGAAAAAAATTCCACATTTTAGCACTGTAGTTTGCTTTTCTCATTTCTTCAGGAGAAACCGCATTTAAAATCTTACTCTTTAGAACATTTATCTATTTCTTACCTGTAACAGGTACTTATAAAGTCTATAAAAGTTTAAAAACAATTCTGGCCAAGATACCCAAACAATGTGTAACACACACTTAAAAGTGCTTCACTAGGTTCAGGGGAAAAAATAGATGGGACATTGAGAAGTCCCAAATTTGTATGGGTAACATTTCTGTTGATTGTGAATATAAATCTACCTTCCCCACAAACTGCAGCTCAGAATATCTTATCATCATCATTTATACACAGCTTCATGCAGCGAGATGTAGGAAATACATTTCATTCATACAGATTGCATGACTTCAAGGAAAATGCAGTTAAGAGTTGGAGAGTTCAAGCCAAAGCCATGAGAGTTTGAACAATAGGCTTGTTTGGTTTCAATGATGCATTTTCTTGCTGCGCCCAATCCTGACCAGCAACACTTGTGCTGCATTTGACATTATTACTCCTGTTTCACTACATACATAATTCCTTGCAGACTAAATGCAATCTATACATCGTATGTGCAGTCCAGTATAAATAAATGATTCCAAAGGTAGCAATCTTCAGATTGTGCAAATACAAAGTAGCCATTTCTATTCAGAGACTGCACACTACACTGATTTGTCAACACCTCTTGTTAAAAAGTGAGAGTTACTCTGGTAAGTATGCCTTTTGTCATACAGAGCTTTTTCCTTTAATGTCCATCTTGATGCTAGCTTCAGACTGTTTACTTATTTGCTCTTCTGTAAAAGTGATGTAGGAATATACGAGGCTTCCAGCAATACTGCAAAACATTAGCATTTAGAATTAATAAACAAAAAACTTCTTCATGAAATATTAAATTGGTGGTCAGTACCGTCGCAGCCATGGACACCCACAAGGCCCTCACTAAATTATTTGTGTCCCCCCAGCCAGGTATCTTGTCTCTTCACCCACATACCATCCACAGTCCAGTTTGCATTTCTTCCTACAGAGAAACTGCACATATGTACCATGTTTTATTTCAGCCCTAGTAACAAAGGTGGAATTATTTTAATTCCTCCTATATTGTGTATATGGTGAAGGATAGAAAGTTTTGAATGTGAGGACATGTTGTAAGTATGTGTGAGAGGTACGTTGGGAGGTTACCTGTTTGCTCAAGGATCTGCTGCTGGATACTTGATAGCTGAAAATAGCTGGGTTTTAAACCCAAAGGTCTCTTCCTACATTAAATACTCTTGCCTCAAATCATTGGCATCTTCAGGGGCTCACATGACAACATGTACATCACGACATGACAGGTCGTCCTTACAACCACAATTGAGCCAAGAAATTTTGTTCCTATGTGAGACAGTTGCTAAGTGAGTTTTGCCCCATTTTACGACCTTTCTTGCCACATTTGTTAAGTGAACCCCTGTGATTGTTAAGTTAGTAACACAGTTGTAAATCTGGCTTCGCTATTGATGGCTTGCCAGAAGGTGGCAAAATGTGTTCACATTACCCCAAGACACTTAAATCGTCATAAATATGGGTCAGTTGCAAACATCTGAATTTTGATCCTATGACCATGGGGATACTGCATCAGTCCTAAATGCGACAAAACGGTCATAAGTCACTTTTTTCCGTGCCATTATAACTTCCAACGGTCACTAAATGAACTATTGTAAGTCGAGGACTACCTGTATATATTTTGGGCAGAAGCTGTGATGCAAGTACATAATTGCGTCATTTGCCTAACAATGTCCTGACACATGTAATATTTTTTTACCCTTTCATAGCTTGTTATGTATACTTATGCCTTAACTTTGCTTTATTCCTACCAGCACTCTTATAGAAGGGGCTCCCATTTAAGGCCCTAGTGAATACTAGAAGGAAATGGTAACAGCCATCTATAAATAGCCAATGAAAAAAAATAAAAACTCCATTATTTTAATACTTGCACTTGTGATTACATAAAAAATACAATTTTATCAGAATTGTTGATTTAAAGTTAACCTTCCTAAATCCAGTCTTCCAATTTTTATTGTAATATATTTTAATTTCTTGATACAGAAATAATTTAGTGAATAGGCTCATTATAAGGCTTTCGTTCTAACCAACATAAGGCAAGAAAGACAGTAATTTAAACAATGTCAATGATAGTACTCAAATGAGGTATGTAATTGTTTTTATTATTTATGTATTAAATTTATTTGCCACCTATTGCACCACAAGGAGTCTACATCCTTGAATTATATCATTTATAAACAGATACCCTTCTTCAGGTAAGAAAAATCCATAGCAGAAAAAACAGACTCCCATGTGAACAAACTTAAATCTCATATATCAATAAAAAAACAGTTAACTAGCAATCCATATGATTAAATAATCCCAGAAGCCAAGCAAAGCCTACAACTGTCATTCAGACACAGTTCTCCAACATATTCTGTAGTTCTATGCAGCACAGTAATATATTAGAATGCATTTCATTTTTTTGTTATGTAAATGTTATTTCTTTAATTTTCCCTACCTTTTCATCTGCAGCTCCCAAAATGTGTACCAATTTATGAAAAGTACCATAATATTAATCTTAACAGTTCCTTAAATGTAATATATTTCCACGTTCTATAGAACTTACGGTATTTCCAGGCTAGCTGCTACAGCAAAGCTACTATAAGCACCTTTTCATAAACTCCGTAATTAACTTGCATAATTTGCCCATTTATTTCTTTAAAAGGTAGATACTCTACTTACCTAATATTTAATCCTACAAAATTTGTCCATGTGAAAATATAATCTCCTCCAAAGACCATTCCTATGTAAGTTATTAGTATATTCTGGAAGTAAAGAAATAAACAGAATTTAAGCTTTTAAACAGAATGCTTAAGTAGACTTCTTAGAAAGAAGGATATTATGTTCATAAATTGCCATAATACTTTAGAATTTCTGTAAGAAATTGCATGAAATCCCACAGCTTTACCCACATCACCTCCATCTGTCAGGCTTAGCTTTTCCTATACATACTGCATTTGTTAAACAAAAATTACCATTTCTCTCTCACATAAATAAAAGCCAATTCAGATCACAATCTTTTCTATATCAGGCTAATACAATATTCTCCATTATTTTCTTTTCAATTCAAGAAGTAGAATATGTTCAAATATACAAATTTAAAGAGCTTACCTTAATACAACCAACGATTGTAGTTGTAAGGGCAGAGTTATACTGAGTGCAAAGTACTGTTGAATACATCAGAATAAACCTATATAAGATAGACAACATTTTGACAATCAATTTAATATAATTCAGACATGGACCAAAGACAGATGAGTAGTCAGTTTCTGGGAAACCAGAAACTGACTACCTAATTCCTGAAATTTTGGCAACAATGTTTAACAATACTGGGTTAGAGTCCCTTTTGAAGTGCCTTAGACACCCCAAAATCATTAGATGTGATTTGATGCGGGAGCAAAACTCCCAATGGTGATTATCCATACTTTTATTATGAAATAAGATCCAAACAGAGTCTTTGAGTCCTAACATATCCATTTTGCTTTTGAGTCTGTTCCTAAACTTTTAACCACTGCCCCACTCTGCAACATATATTATTTCTCTCTCTCAGTGATGTCCCTGGAGAAACAGTTGTGTTCCTGAAGGCACTATTCAAAAAGAGGGGGGGGGGGGAATTAACCACTTTTGAATTTGAGAAAGCAAGTCATTTAGATTTGTAAAATAGCAGGCATACTTAGTTCATGGAACACAAATTCATGGAGGAGGAGGAGGAGGAGGAGAAAGGAATTTTCAGCTTTAAATTCTCACTCTATATTTAGTCCAGAAGAATTATAATAAAAACAATCCAGAATATATTCCAAAGGATATACTGGAATCAGGCATTGCCCCTTTTTGCTACTATCAAAGCATTTTGGAGATTAAAACTACTGAAATATGCATAAGATACTGTATATCAACAACAACTGTTTTCTGATGCTGTACTAATCTGCCATATTTGATTATATCAGAAAATCCTATATATTAAAATAAAGTTGCCAGAAAGGCTTTAATTCATTGGGGAAGCCAAAAATAAAATATTCTTACCCCATCACACAGGAGAGTGTAAATTGTGCAAGGAAAAGGGTATCTGCCCAACCTTTATATTCCATTGCCTGAAAACAAATTGTACATATATTAATAGAAAGACAAATAATCAGGAATATTTTTCATACTAGTTCATCCAAGTAAGATTAAAAAAAATGATAGTGTCAGAATTCATAGACCAAAACCTAAATGCCTTTTGTACGGAATCTTATACAGTGAAAAATTGTTCATCTCAACGGGAACTAATATTTAAAAATAAAATCCAATCCTGTATTACTCTGTTAAGTAGAAGTACCTGATAAGAGAGACAATAGCAATTATAAATTATAGCAGATTTGTTTAATAGTGTGTATCATAATACCATAACGCCTGGCAAACATTTTGCCTAACATATAGTACAGCCGATCAATCTTTTTTTAATATTGTACCATTATTAACCTCAAGGAAAAATATAAATAGATAAAATTTTATTTACTTATTAAATTTTTATGTCATCCATCTCCCTATAAGGTGATTATTGGTGGTTAAAATGAAAAAAAATCAAAATATATTTTATCATACTCCTTTTTAGAGATTATCTAGCCATCTCTATTACACAATATTCAAGTTTCCTTTTTTTTCAGCTGCCTCTGCAGCAAAGATCAAAAAAAATTATCCAAAGATCTGTGAATTTCAATCGTCTATAATGAAACTATGACAGGAGGTCCTTCCCATAAATTAAAATGTCTTATGTCTTGTTTGCAAAAGATTTCCTTAAATGTTAGAAGTAATTTCTGGATAAGCTTTTGAGGAGTAGCTGGACTTTGAATAGTCTCTTTTATTAAAGTCATAGAGCTACAAGCAGCGATGACTGAAAAGTGATGATGGACTGATACAATCTGCAGCAGGAGCCAGTTCAGAGCACCTGGGATTTTGCACAAAAGTGCAAAGGGAATGCACACCTTAGGATACACCAGTGGTTCTCAACCTTTTTAATGCCGCGACCCCCAACCGGTTGTAAGTCGAGGACTAAACCGGTCGTAAGTTGAGGACTACCCAACCGGTCGTAAGTCGAGGACTTTCCCTGCCCGGGAGCGCCGCGCATGCGTGGTTCCTCCCCCTGCGCCAGCCGAGGCGTAGCTGGCAAGCGGCAGAGACGGAGCAGGCCGACCACCAGCTGGCCCAGCCCAAGGGAGGTAAGGCACCCGCCGGAAAAGGGGAAAAAAAAGGCGGACAGCTTTGCTTGGCGACCCCCGTGAAATGGTCGATCGACCCCAAATGGGGTCGCGACCCATAGGTTGAGAACCGCTGGGATACACAAAGAAAGCTTTAATACAGAAAGCGGATTGGGTCTAAGGAATGCATGTCAATAAAGTCCCACAGCTCTACTCAATACACCTTGGCAAATTTTACTCACAAAACAAGATTATCTCCTCCTCCTCATGAATGCAATGTTCTGATTAGGGAAGTAAATACCTTTTTATTGATGTCTATCTCCGCAATAGGGAAGAAACTTTACGCTTCTTCTAACAAGGGTCTTATTTCAAGTGAACAATTACTTTGAGTTTCTGTTATGTCTTTTAAAATCTTCCCTTTCACATTCCATTGCAATACAGCCTAATACCTTCCTATTGAAAGATAATGGAACAGAGCCTGGCTGGCAGAGACTTGTTTACGTCAACGATGTAGTATAATGCAGTGTTGATTTATTTACTTAAATTTATTTATGTATTAAATTTGTTTGTTGCCCTTCTCGCCGCAAGGCAAGGCAACCCTGCACATATCTTGAGCCAGTCAGGAGGAAGAAGGTATGTTGGATATGTTTGCCGGCTTGAGTTATTTGTAAAAACAAAATAATAATAGAAAAATAAAAAAGGTGGGATATAAATAAAATGACAGCAGTTTGGATTTCCTCCCTAAAATCCCACTCCAAAAGACACTTTTCAGGTCACACTATGTAAACTGCTTCTCACAAGCTTTTTCAAATCTAGCCTGAATGCATAACCTAAATGCCTTGCACATAAAAGCTTTATGTCTACTGATCTGCCGATAGTTTTACTTACAAATAAAACGGTTCAAAAATGGAGTACAGATTCCTGCCTTTGCTCCCTTCGTATCTGGGGGGAGAGGGATGTTTTCTCCGCTTGCTTTCTATGTGCAGCATTCATTCACAGAGAGCAGAATGGAGAACTGGATCCCACCCTAATCCATGTTTAGGAAACTTCATGAAATAACATGAAAAGCTCATTATAGGAGCAATTCTAACCCAAACATTTGCTTGCGGTGTAGGTTTCTTCTTGCAGATATTATCGCAGAAAAGATGAACTTACAGTCTGAAAAGGCTCAATTTAATTAGCATTTTGCTTTGCCACGTCTACCATCGTAAGAGGCAGGCAAAGAAGAAAGATTCAAAGAGTGCTTTAGAATGGAAAATTTATTCCACAAGTTCCAAGTTTATTACAGTCATTGATCCAATATTTTACACAAAGCCAGAATTATAAAGTATCAAGAAAATTAGGACACACAGGAAAAGATAAAATAGATATGTAAAGTGTGTAAAGAGTTGAAGTGTAATTCCTAAGGTAGTAGAATGAGAATAAAATAACATTAAAAAGAAATAATAAAAACCTATCAATAAAATATATGTACTTGGGTATTAAGCACTACATTTATAAAAAAGGCAAACCTTAGACTGTTAAGGAAAACTTTATTAAGCATAATTTCCCAGTGAGCTTCGGTAAAATCAAAAGAAACACTTAATTGGGGGGGGGGAATAAATGCTATAATGCTTTTACAATCTAAACATTCACACAGAAGAACACTGGAGAGAAAAGTAAATATAAATAATATACCATAATTTATTTGCAACATGCTTAGAAATAGCCAGTGAAACATAGTTCTGGCAGACTTTATTTTATTAATAAAATTTGTTTTATTAGCATTTTTTAAAAAGCATGAAAGCTACTAAAAATCAAGAGTTTCAAGAGTATCGAGATCTATTTATTAATTTAAAAAAACGTGTTTTCAGAAAATCATAAAAGCTTTTGATAGATTCTTTGACCCACCAGAGTTTCTACTTTTAGAAAATCTTTTGAACATTTCAGAAATTGTAACCTGGTATATGTTGCAAAGACAAGCTTTGGTACTGTCTTTATTTCCAATAAGGAAGGAATTTCCAGTTTGGGATGCCAGTACATCCCAAATACTCTAGATCTCAGAAGCTTTCTTAGAAAATGAAAATAAAGGTGACTTCTGTCCAGTGCTAAATATGCCTAAAAAAAGTACAGATAAAAGGGGCTAATAGGAGGCCCCCTGCAGGAGAGAGCATCAGGTAATATTCTGATATTTCAAAAGTTTGTATCTAGTTATAGCTCAGGAGTGGGCAATTAATTTTCCCAATGGGTCACATGAGAAACTGTGGCTCTGTTGTGGAGGGATGAATTAATAGAGTTGTAAATGTGCATAGGCACGCATGCATATATGTAAATTGAAAAAAAAATAGCCTCCTTCAAAATAAAATCAATGTGGTTATATTGCATGCATGACTTACACTTATTTGCATTTGATTTCTAATTTCCAATTGATCTTACGCAGGCCAGACAGGAACAGCCAAAGGGCTGGATATGGCCCAAGGGCTGTAAAATGCCCAGGTCTGTGATAACCCAAGCTGATCATATTTGTGAACAAAATCTTCTAATAACCATTTGGGGAGAATGATGATCCTAAGATTTCACCAGCCAAAAAAAAAAAAGGTTCCCACAAGAGAATATTGTGCGCCTTCTCTCTTCATCTTAGTCGACAATCACTTAAATATGAGCCAGCAGTGTGCTGCAGCTGCCAAAAAAGCCAACACAGTGCTAGGCTGCATTAACAGAGGAATGAAATCAAGATCACGTGAAGTGTTAATACCACTTTACAATGCCTTGATAAAGCCATACTTGGAATACTGCATCCAGTTTTGGTAACCAAGATGTAAAAAAGATGTTGAAACTCTAGAAAGAGTACAGAGAAAAGCAACAAAGATGCCTAGGGAACTGGAGGCTAAAACATATAAAGAACAGTTGCTGGAATTGGGTATGTCTAGTTTAATGAAGAGAAGGACGAGGGGGGACATGATAGCAGTGTTTCAATATCTCAGGGGTTGCCAGAAAGAAGAGAAAGTCAAGCTATTCTCCAAAGCACCTGAGGGCAGGACAAGAAGCAATGGATGGAAACTAACCAAAGAGAGAAGCAACCTAGAACTAAGGAGAAATTTCCTGACAGTTAAAAACAATTAACAATTAATCAGTGGAACAACCTGCCTCCAGAAGTTGTGAGCTAATATTGGATGTTCTTGCTTTGACAGCTACAACACTGGAAGTTTTTAAGAAGAAACTGGACAGCCATTTGTCTGAAATGGTATAAGGTTTCCTGCCTGAGCAGGGGATTGGACTAGATGACCTCCAAGGTCCTTTCCAACTTTTTTTTATTATTACTATTATTACTATTACTATTATTATTATTATTATTATTATTATTATTATTATTATTATTATTATTATTATTATTATTTGCTTAGTATCAAAAGAAAAAGAAAAACTTTTGACCCATAACCACAGATGAGCTGGAAAATAGGATTTTAAAAAAGTATAACAGAAACATACCTATCATGAATTTTATAATCACAGCAATAATTAGATTTTATGCCACAAAATATTTTCAGTTCACTGGAACCACTGATATAACTAATGTATCCCACAATTGTTCATGGCTGACACATAGCCTGCTAATTTCACTGACAAATATTTTCCTCTTGTTAAAACTTCACCAACAAAAAAATACAACAATCCACTCTTTTCACAGGTTACAATTTGCACTTACATACTGTATCAGTGCATAATAAGCTAACACATAAAGGGAGAGAGGCTCAGCCCTAAATATAATTTTATTATGAACAACCCTGTGATTTCCCAGGCCTCTGAATATGTACTTGACTAAAACAAATTCTAGAATACAGCACAATACTCACATTCTTCTCTTTTAATATACAAATCTCCCAACACAAACAGCAAGAATGTAAAAAAGTGGATCCTATGTGCAACATTTAAGTCACTGAAAACAAATTCACTATTTTTTTCTTGAAAAACACATTCCAATGTTTTATAATAACCTTTTTACCAGATAGTACCATCAACATCTTAATTTCTATTTTCAAACAAATGATTAATAATCAATGCTCATTTAAATCCTAAAAAGTCTAGTCATGGAGTTGTTATTAGGACTTGTATGTCTATTCTGCACACACACCCTTCCTCACTCTATGGCTTTTCCTCTACCCTAGCACTAGCCAAAGCCAATGACAGTAGCAGTAGTGTGTTTGTGTGGAACACAGGACTGAATTATCCCTCCATTTATGGTGAGAGAGGAACCTTGAGTTTAATTTGGATTGTCCTTTTAACCATAATACTTAGCCTTTGAAATCCCATTTCTATGTAGCAAAGGATATGATCCTGGGATTCTTTATTGACAGTTGCCTGACTACTGTTTTGTCCACCAGATTTTTTCTAGCAGCCTCAGGAGTCATAGATAGAAGCCCCATCCAAAAAAATTCTAGGATTGGAAACTGGCCTGTTGAAAAAAAATATATCCCACAAATGCCGTAGGAAACCATTTTCACAATGCTGCCAACAAAACGGCAGGAAGGCAATCCCAGAGATCAAGTTCAATGATGTTTTACCTTTAGTTGTTGAATATTGATTTATCCTAAACCTCTTTTGAAGGGTGACTTCTGTCAGCCCTATAGATAGACCAGACCATGAAATCAACTTTACAGAAAGACTACAATTACTTTTATTGAGATTGTATCTCCATCTCTTTCAATGAATTAGGGAAGAATTTGTCTGAGCCATTTCCAAACGTTATCTGGCCATTCTAGACTAAAATCGCTTGAACTCTTTTTCCCTCAGAAACGATTTGTGCATATCTCAATCAAAGCCATCTTCCTTATTCTCTATTACTTCTGGCTGAGCTTTCACATACACAAATTCGTGAGGCAGACACATTTATTCATTTGGGGAGGAGGAATCTCAAGGACTGAATTCTTCTAGAACTGAGAAGGGTTGCCAAGATTGGGAAGCTGCCAATCTGTGAGAATCATATGTGTATTTTTTTTTCTATCTACTGTTCCTTTGTGGTCAAAATTCAGGATTATCTTCATTTTGGGTAAATACACTACCTGAAACACTTCCCTTAGAAAAACAACTATAAACAATTAGGCATTGTCTGTATTCTGGCTGGCTGCCATTCAGAACTTGCTAGGCCTTGCTAGCGCTAAGTGTCTTGCTGCTTCTTTTGGAGCAGAAAAGATTCTTTAACTAGGATGAGGAAAGCCAAATTATACATATTCATTTACAAAAGGCCGTTTTGTTTAAACTTCTACGTAACACCACACTCTTTATTTTGTTGTTTGAAAAGAGTGAGTGCAAATCCAGTGGGAAAAACATGCCAGATTTAATATTTCATGTAATGTTTTATTTTTAAAAAATAAACCTAACTCAAAGCTACTAAAGCGAAGAATAATATATTTGAATTATATTCTAGGGCACACCTTGTTAACAGCAGCATAGAGATACAAAGTAAGCCCTGCAGTTGGAGTAGTTACATACATACAGTCACATCCTTGCCTTTTCTCCTAAAACGATGAAGACAAAGAAGTATTTGGGGAGGAATATAAATGCAGGGAACTGGAGAGACGAACTGAAATTCTAACAACAAAGGAAATATATTCCTGCAATCCTAAGAAATGCAGGCAGTTAATAAAATATTTGCTGTAAGATGTGTATTGATAAAATTAGAGACACTACTTCACAATAACCTAAAAATAATTTACTTGTTATACAGAAATTCACGTTTTGTATCTTTGTAGGAAGTGTGAGATACCAAAAATAAATATGCGCATTAGCATAAGGACACACTTATTTATTATACTGACATAGGCAAGCCACCATTGAAGTATCATTGCACCAATATGCTTTGTGTTAATTCCCCTAACATGGTGTCCACCAAAGCTGTACAACAATCAATCCCATAATTCTCAACCAGCATGATCTCCAACCACTAAGCTGGAGAAGCTGCACTGCAAGACCCAGTAGATGCAAGCATTGCTCTTTTCGGGTGCAAGTACAATATCACAAAAACAGCAGTTATTTTACTTCTCTCATTTGTATGTTAGTTGCATCTGATACCTAATGGATCAACTGGAGTTACTCTATTCATTCTTAATGTTATTAGTGTTTGTTATTTATTCTTAATGTCATTAGTGTTCAGCTACTTTCCAAGTTCAGGATTTTATATAATTTCTTTCTTATGTGCCAAATCTGTATTGTGCTTCTTTAACTGCAACCATGATAAATAGTTGGTAAATGCTTTCTTTCCTTCTATTTTGATATATTCATTTTTTAAATGTAAGCCACTTCGGAAAGAGGCACATAAGTAAAAAAAAAAAAACCTAGGACCCCAAAGGAAGAGAATCAAAGTCTGCCACATTTAGACATATTGGCAAGCAATCTTGACAAGCTGTATTCTATGTCCTAAATTTCCAAATGATATGTAGAAGAATATTTCATAAAATGGAATTATTTATATAGTTTTGGTGTAAAACTTGCATTCTGGATTTTATTTTTTTTAAAAAAGTTACCTTTTGTGCATCTCCTGTAAAGTAGGCAATGCCCAAAGTAGGAAGAATCATGAATAGTGCATTGTAATAAAGGAGACCATATTTTCCCAGCTCCTGGGAATGGAAAAAAAACAAAACCAGAAATGTATCTTAAATGAAAAATACATTACATAGAAAGCTACACAAATAAGAGTGTAGGTATCCCATCCAAATAATGTGATTGTTTTTATCATATCCTTAAACACATACCAGGTTCATACTCATGGCACAAAGAATATAACAGAAAATATTGTGCAGCAATATAATTGATATCTTCTGCAGTTTGGTGCCTATTTAAAAAATACATTAAATGGACATATAAGTGAAATACACATCACATTTTATTCTTCATTCTGCCAATCTCTAACAGGGATAAATATTCAGAGAAAACAGTACTTTTTACCCACAGATTCAGGGTGTAAACTGGATGAGTTTTTAATCTAGTAGTTTTCTGATAAATATGGAGAATAAACTTAAATCTGCCCTTCTTAGACTACATATTTGCCTGAAATAACTTGTATCCTCTCTGCAAGAAATCTATCTCAATTAACCATAGCAAGCTGTTAACTCAGTTAATCCACAATTTGAAAGCATATGATCTAATCGACACTTATCCACTTTCACAGCTAGCAAGCCAGCTCTCAATTCACTCTGCTTAGAAAGCAACCCGTTACACTGGTTACTTAAACTGGTGATAAGTCACTAAACCATCTTATAATTATATAACAGTTCCTTAAATATGTGTGAATAACCAAGTAATCTTATAATAGCTAGGTAACACTAGTATACCACTGCATTTTAGTAACATCATCTTAGTTGCTTATCCTGTTTCACCTAACCTTAAAAACCACAGGTTTTCAAGATTTTCTGCAGCTAAATATGCAGTCTACTGTGCATAAAGTCACAGTAAAAATAGTTGGGTACTATTGTGCCGCAGAATGTGTTAATGCTTCTGGTGTTATTGAACCCAAGGACACCAACAGTATTGTAGTTGTCCTTTGGTAGAAACAGAAGTGCTGATTGAGAGCAGCAGTGAGGAAGATATTACTCTCCAAATATAGCTAAATTACATCTCCCTCAACAAGGAATTGAAGAATACTTTGACAAATTATACACGGAAGCCTTTAAAATGTTTCAAGCATCAAATTTCACAAGATGCCCCATCTCATGCCTGAAGTGCAAAAAAATCTGTTTCAAGGTTGATAAAAAAATGTTTCAAGCTTGAGATCCTTCCAAAATATTAGAATTTTGAGGCAGGGTGTTTCATGAAATTTTGTGCTTGCAATATTTCAAAAGGAAACATTTTGCACATCACTAGACACAGAACAGATCAACCTATGGAATAGCTTACCCCACAGCAACAAAAAAAATTACATTTTTATTTATCTTTTACTGATCAGCATAGCAACATGAAGCAGTGAGGGGAACCCTACCTTTGAATCTAGCTTCTGTTTCACATAGGCACCATTTGCAGCTGTCAAGACATCATTGATCAAGATAAAAATGTAACCTTCTAGATCAAATGCCAAATCAGAACTATGGAGAAGAGATATTTAAATTGCAGAAAATTCGTAACATTTACAAATACAGAACTAACATAATTTACAACAATCCTGCAAGTTTGTAAACAGTATTCCAGAAAAGGGTAGGCATCTGATGAACCCTGATATATATGCTCTAACTTGATATAAATATGATCAATGCTGCACTTGAATAGATAACTGATTTCCTGTAAGAGATTGGAGGAAGGAAGGGTATAGCCACACTTTTTTCTGTGTACAGTCTGTTCTTCCTTAATGGGTGAGTCACACCACTCAACAAAATGTAAATATATCTAACTGGGCAGTGCTCTAAGTTCAAAATAATTCAAAGTGGATTTAAAGATTTAAAGATATAACCTGCAACTTAAAATAAATAGAATGAGACAATCACAGATTTGTTATGGAACATGAAAACTATAACAGTGGCTGAAAGCAGCAGAAGAAAATGGCTAACTTCCTTAGCCAACGTAAGTGGCTATTAATCCTTGAGATGTTAAGAACTACAACTTTCTGCTTGTCTTGCTAACTCATCCTGATGAAATATTCAACAAAATACAAAAAGCCCTACCGCTAGACTACAGAGAATTTTTTTAAAAAATATTTCAGACAATACACTCTTTCAATAGTTTCTAACTCTATTGTTTATTCTTTGCATGGGAATTTATATATTAGAGAAACAAACTTTCCATTTTTATTTTAATTCAGAAGTACACCTGCTTTATTATTTTAGTTCTACAGTAACAGGAAATAACTTACATTTGCACTCTCTTTTCACCATTCAACAGAATCTAAATGATAGGAAACTACTTAACATTTTGGTATGAAAATAGGAAAAAAGCATTAGCAAAAAAAATCAAACCATACCTTGCAGCTACAAATGCACCAATTATCATTGCAAATACTGTCATCCGAATTCCCCAAGAAAATTTTTTCCTAAAAAGAAAGCTTAATCATTACTGCAGCAAATTTTCAGAAATTCTCAGTGCTTTTCTGATTGAAAACAGTTAACTTTCAAGAAATCAAGATACAGCAATGCTGTTGATGTGCTTTCCACCAGGTCCTGTGTATGTTACTATAGCAACAGGGAAGATTACTATCTGCTTCCCTAGGTTCTTTGCACTTAGCCCAAAGATGATCCAGACTTTGCAAGCAACCTGACCATGTTTACAAACAGCACATTCAAGTTTTTAACCTATGAACTACACACAAAAAAGGATGGTTATCTACAAAAAACAAACAAAATTATGCACTAAAGTTCAACAGAATTAAAGAATTTGCTGGACTTTCAAATGTGAAAAATACACAACACATCCATGCTGCTCATTGAAAAGACAGAAATAATAGATGGTTCCACGTGGCTTTACAGTTCTCTTGCTTCCTACAGTACGACCATGAAGCATAATAAATTTGGCAGAACTGTGCCCAACACAGACACATGAAACAATATATATAGTGTTTTTTTAACTCACTTGAGTAAGATTCCTTCTGCAAACATTGTAAACAGAATGGAAAACCGTCTCAGGACTGTAAACATTGGCAGACTAAGAAAGAAAATAAAAAAAAATGTTTTGAATAAGCTAATCCTCTTGAGATGCCCTAAATCAGTATTCTCATACCAAGCTAATCTAGATAAACCATTATAAGCACTAAATAAGAAAAGTATAAGCAGGAAAGATTGCCTCCAACACTGCCAGAAAGAGTAAGAAGAAAAAAGACGATCTGCCAAGTCTGCGCTAGCATAACCCCAAAAGTAAAAAAAGTTTTATAAATAAATATGAAGCTCAAAAACATAGACAAAGTAGCACATTTCTACTAAACTGTTTATGGACAGATTATTAAGGAATACATGTATTTGCTCCAAATCTTATTCCCTTGAAATGAGATAAACTCCAAAGTTCTGAGTTTACACTTATATTTAACAATATTCCATAACCACTTGATAAAGGTCACATGTCCCAGTATCTTTCTGTACATAGCAGTGTATTGTATTTCTGAGATAAGATAGTAGAACAGCAGCTTGTCAAAGTAACTTCTCAGAACCGAATACTTTTAAATGCTTCTTTTAAAGGCTTCATTAATATATATATAATTAAATACAGGAATATGGTATGAGACTTTAAGATATCTTTGTTTTAACAAAGTAGTCCAATTAAATACTACGTAATATTTCAAGAACTTTACAAAAGTCTCCTAATAATATTATTATTTTCTGCTTTAGGCCTTTTGTCAGCACCATCCTAAATTTTGTTTTCAACCTAGTAAATGTCTCTAACAAGGCATTCAGATGGAGTATAGGCAGGAATGTCTGTGTCATGGAAACAACAGCCACAGTTATGCCCATGTGCTGGGGAAGCTACAGTAGTGGCCAAAATTGGTTAAGTTTCCACCAATTTTTCTTCTAATTTCTTTATAACTGTAGCCTTGTTCACTTAATAATACTATTTTACATCGCTTTCTGGGCAACCAGTCAACTCTTTGCACCATTACTTTTAATTTTATTACGTTTTACAAGCTTACCAAATGAAAGAACACAAAAAAAACTCAACCAACTTGATAGCGGTCACATAACACACTGACAAATGTCCTCCTCAGCTTCAATACATGACATCAATAACTGAATCCTACTGTGATCTGATTGGCTCATTGCCAATACAAGATGACACCTGAGTGGCTCTCTAAACACTCATGCTCATTGGCTACAATCAGATGAAGGAAAGCTACCTGATATCAACCTAAGCGAGTTGTGCTTCCTTTTTCTGGTTATTTAGCTATAACCTTTCATAGAATACAGTACAGATAATTGAACAAACTTTGTTGCATTACATTCTTGATTAAATTATATTTCCATTGATATATATAGTTTTATGGTACTACTCCAAAAAAAAGTGCTGTTATTAGCCATCAAACCTCAAAATACATTTTTCCAAAAGGTTTCCACAATTTTGGCCACTACTATACAGTCAAACTTACTTTTGTTGCACATAGAACTGGACTGCTCTAACACTCATTGTGTGCTTTTGAAGTATGTCAAGTACTTCAATTACACCCTAAAAAACAGACGCAGAAAAGTAGGAAGAAACTGCAGATCAGTACTCCACTATGAAGCCTACCCAGAAAATAAAAAGGTAAACTGGAGGATGAAATATCTAAGTTAAGGTAGTAGTAAAAAGTGACACTTTGCTATTTATTTTATTTATCTTTTTTTAAAATCCTGGCTTACAACGTTGGGAGATGTACAACGAAAATAATTTAAAAAAACACAAATATTAAAAAATAAACAATGTAAAGCAGTGATATGAGTGCAAAGAGTGCCCATAACAACCAACTGGAGCCAGAGTCTTGTTGGAATAGGAAGGTTTTAATGATCTTATTAAATAGAAGGGAAAGAACCATTTCATTTCCCATAGATATTTATGTTTTTATTTTATTATAAGTGGCACTTTGTCATTTCAATCAGAAAATAAATTGATGTTGCTTAAGAAAACCACATTCTTTAATACTGGAGAGAACACAAAAGACAAAATGCCATGGACCACAGAAACAACAGGGACAGAACTAATTGGTAACATGGTACTTAATGCAACCTGGTCTGTGCTATTCAGGGCTTCATAAATGATAACATCATTCTGAATTGGGCCCATAGGCTAACAAAAAGCCGCTGTAGGGATTTTAGAATTGGTATTATTTTCTAATGGTGGGATTGGCTCATTGGCAATTGATCTGCTGCTTTCTAGGTTATCTCCAAAGGCAGCACCACATGGAATGTCTGCACTATGTTCAACCACATGTTGTTTTTTAGGCCATGTGTTTCTATTGTTAGGACATCCTGGTCAAGATAGTCATAACTGGCTACAAGCCAGAACTGGGCAAAAGCTTCCATCGGTTATTTGAATAGGAGTTATAAATCCAGGGGGACCCAATCCACAGACTAACTTCTTCAGGTGGAGCACAGCCCCATCCAGGATGATTACCAGGTCCATTGTTAATGGATCAACTTGATGTTTACAAATGCAACTTTGTCTTTCTACTTATATAACTGAATTTTAGTTTGTTTCTGCTTCATCCAGATTATAATGAGCTTCAGATATCAATTCAGGCAGTTTACACTCAGCAACACTAGTTCAATACAGGGTAATAATGTGAAAGTGAGTGTTATCAGCGTACTGATGATATTCAATCCTGAAATGACACAATCTTGACCTGACTTTATAGAGATGTTGAATAACACAAAGGAGAGCACTAAGCCTTGTAACACTCCACAATGGAATAGATGCAAGCTTGAGTGCTGCTCTCCTATTATTACTGACTTGGACCAGCCATTGGGTAAAATTAAACTCACCATAAAACAGTACTCCCAATTTGAAACCCTTATAAGTGGTCTAGCAAGATGCCATGGTCAATGGAGTCAATCCCCACCAAAAGATTTAAAAGCACTGAAGGAATCTTCCCCTTATCAAAGTCACAGCTGATCATCAATCATCATGATCAATGTCTATGACTGGGCATGAAACCTAACTGATATTTATCCAGATAAAATATTCTTCTAGGATCCTCTATAACTGAACATCTACCACCTTCTTTTTGCCAAAGATCTATGGCTGGCCTCATCAAGAAAGGGCACGTTATACCTCCCTCAACGTAGGCATTCTTCTTTACTTCAGAAAGGCATTGACAGTGTCCCAGTTCCAGTCACTCACAACTGACCAGAGAAGTTCAAGTGAACTGGGAAAGAGACAGAACAAACATACAGATGGTAGGGCTCAAATAGCACGTTACCTTTTATTTGTAATAATGCCTCAGCAGGCAGCAATGCCTAAGCAGGATGACTTAGTCCCCTACGTCAAGACTTAGGTAGGGGATTTCAGTGGCAAAGTAAGGCCAACTGATACCCTAAAAACAGCTCAACAATGGTGGTCTTCATGCCCTCCATTGCTCAACTGACAAGCTATGAAGATTCAGTAAGGATTGATAACTAAAGTCAAGGGTGGCAGTGAAAAAAATAAAGGCACAATAGGATAAGGGGAAAACTCTGTGTTGCCCCCCTTAATCCAGGGCTGGATTAAACCAGGATATTCCAGGATGGCTAGCTAGGCACAGATGTAAAAAATATATAACTTGGAAGAAGCACTGGCAAACCACTTTCAGTAACATTGCTAAGCTAACGGCATGGATGCAGTCACAGATGGCTAATTTGAGAAAATATTTATTACTTAAGAATATGCATTTTCTATTGTAATTTTTCCACTTTTATGTTCCTGACTACAAATACAAGATTGCAGAGTAATATGTGTGTCTTGCCAGACAAATACTCCTACACATTCTTACTTGAAAATCCCAGTAAACATTAACAGGATTTATTCTGAGTTCAATAACTACATGACTGAGATGCAAGAGAATAATCTATATAGAAATCTAGCTGATATCACCCCTTTCATTATTCTTCGGGCTTATCAAGCACTCTTCCATTCGTTAAAAACACACTCCACCATAATATTCCAAGAGCAACTAGTATTTTGAAGTAATCAGAAGAAATATCTTTAGAGCTGAGCTCCTGCTAATACAGATAGTTTTTAATAAAAGCATAATAAAATTATAACCTCACAAATGTATAAAAGTTATCCATACTTCAATTTCTTTGTGCTGAACAGTCCTGTGATTTGGTTCCCAAAATAGAGAAGAGGTAGTGGAAAAGTCTAGAAAATTATAAAAAGGGATAAAATAGCACCCAATGAACAGATAACGTCGTCTTAAGACCTAGCATTTAAACAATGACAGTTTTGTAATGAACAGCTTTCATCAGGCACACCACAAGGGAAGCCTTAGAGGGGAAAAAAAGCCCAATGCTGTTTAAATATGGCTTAACGGCTTTAGCACATCAGATAAATATAATTTTGAAATCCAATTTACAACACAAGCACATACATCCTTCTTTTCTTCAAGACTTTGTTCATTTATGAAGCCATTAACAGAACATCTATTATTTCAACTTATGTTGGGCATGTAAAGGCAAAGTATTCATAAACTGAGGTCACGTTTAAATCAAGTCACTTGTTCATATGTGTACGTTAATAGCACACTAAGAATCTATGGCATGACATCAGTATAAATAAAGAAAACAGCTACTCTTAATACTGTTCCATGGTCTGCTAAACAAGTTCTTTTAATACGTAAATGGCCTCAAGATTCATAACTGGGGAGTTCTGACACAAATAAATTTCAGTTATGTGAAACAAAATCTTATCAAAGTTTACTCAGAAATAGGATCATTCATTTATTTATTCCAGCATACAGAGGATTGTATTTTAAGAGAATATTAATTGGAAATAAGTCCTTTTACATTTAAGTGATAATATTTCTAAAGGGAAAATTTTACATCACTTCAGGAAGAGGCAATAGGAGCCTGTGTGGAAACTTCCCTGAGCCTCTTTTAAAAGGGAAAAAAGAATTTAAACACACACACAGGGAAGCAGCATATACTGCAAAGTATTTCTTTTCAGAGAATATTTCTACTCCTCCACAAGCTCCATAAGCTTTTTTTAGAAGTATAGAAAATGGGTCGCCGAGGCTTACTCCTCTCTTAGGAAGGGTGCCAAAATATACATTTGGCATTTATCCATCTATTAGGAGAATAATCCTATACAAAATAAAGGCTAGAATTATGCATATTTAACAGCACTTTTTATGCATTTTAAAGTGTGTTCTGTCAAATACAACAATATTTGCCTTAGTGAAAGGATTATTCATTACTTCCATCCCAATAATTATTAGTTTTAGGAGAGAGGAAGGAGAGAGACAAGAAACACGCCGTACCTTTCGAGGTATATGTCTATCAAAATCTGGAAACTTGACTACCCTGAGTGCCTTTCCCACCCAAAGGACAACTACGGTGGCCAGCATCTGTAAGAGAAGGAAGAAAAATCACTAGACTGTCTCCAATTCCCCCTGCCCGCCCTATTAGAGAATTTCTGAAATGTAGACTTCAACGAACCTGGCCTAGTCCCACACAGAGCGAGGAAGGAAATCTGCAACAAACCACAAACATGTTAAACCGTACTAGACAGTTGAAACTTTGACAAATCATGCACAACAGAGAATGCTAGCCAGTGACAGGAGAAATGGCCTGCCTCTACCTTTACCCTCATTTAAAACAATTCTATAAGGGATGCACTTCGTGTTCTTTGCCCTTGCAACCAACGCCCTTGCAAACATAGCCCTAACATGTTCAGCACAAATGCACTTCCTATAGTACACCTATTCCACAAGCACGTCAAGATGCAAGGACACAGAACAATTAACAAGGTAAACTACAGGGCGTCTTTGGAGGCAAATTAAAACCGTGTAACGTCGAAGGAAGATTTCCAAAGAATCTTTAAAGCAAGGAGGGGAATGGAAGGGCAAGTGCAACCCCAAACTACTCCAGTCAGTCAGTTGGTCAGTCAGTTCTCTGGAAAAGTATGGCGCTGCGGACCGCAACCAATCCCTCCAAATTCAACCCGCAGAAATCAGCAAAACTCATTTCAGCCCCAGAGATCCTAATACAGGTAATCCTCGACTTACAATCACAACTGAGCCCAACATTTCAGTTAAGCGAGACATCTGTTAAGTGAGTTTTGCCCCATTTTACAACCTTTCTCGCCCCAATTGTTAAGCGAATCGTTGCCGTTGTTAGCACAGTAACACTGTTGTTCAGCGAGTCTGGCTTCCCCATTGACTTTGCTTGTCAGAAGGATGCAAAAGGTGATCACACACGACCTTGGGACATTGCACCAATCGTTAAGTAGGACCCAGCTGCCAAGCATCTGAATTTTGATCACATGATCCTGGGGGGGGGGGAAATGCCACAAAGGTCACAACTGTGAAAAAACGGTCGTAAGTCGCTTTTCCCAGTGCTGTTGTAACTTTGAACGGTCACTAACTGAACTGTTGTAAGTCGAGGATTACCTGTACGACAGGAGATCCCTGTCCTAGAGAAGAAAAGGCAACGGGCAACTTCTCAGCGGAGAGACCTACAAGTGGTTTTATTTGAGGAGAGGCTAAAAGGCGACTGCAAAACCTCCTGCCGGGCATCCACACTAGAGACGAGCGGGCGTCGCTGCCCTTCCCCGTTAACTGGGAGGCGGCTTTCTCCCAGAGCAACGGTCTGGGGCTTTGCAGAAGCCTCCGAGGCGGGTGAAAGCAGCTTCCCCGCTCAGCGGTTCAAGCAAGCAGGAGCCGCCGCCGGCTTCACCGGTCTCCCTCCCGGTTGCTGCATGCGTCGTTCTGCAACCCACCCGCCGCCACCCCGCCACCCCAGCCCCTAAAACTTCCACCGGGGCTAAGCGCCGAAGAACTTCGCCCGGGCTCGCCTCCTTACCCATAGCTGGTGAGGACGCTCTTGTTGACGATCACGATGAGGAATGAGCTGAAGCCGTAGAAGGCAGCGGCCAGCAGCTTGAGGCAGCCGGAGAGGCTCGAGGCCGCCGCCATGCGGTCGAGGAGTAGAGGCGCTCGACCCCGTCGATGATGCCGCTGGCTCCCTCGACGAAGAGGAAAGTGCGGTCGACGAACTGCAGACGCGTGCGGGCGGCTGTACCAACGTTCGCCCTGCAGTCTTCCCCCGCCTCGGTGCCTCCTCTTTCGGGCCCTCTCGCGCTCGAGCCTCGCTGAAACGTCGGCCTCGCCCTTCCCCGGGGGGGGGAAGGGGGAGGCCTGGCTTGGGTTTTCGGGGGAGAAACTGCTGACGGAGAGATCCTGTTACTTTTAGGAACGGCTTTCCTCGGTGTCCTCCAGAAAGGCTGGACAAATCACGTCATCTTCATTTGTAAAGCAGAACATACTTAAGCTAGCAGGCGAACCAAATCAATGTGCAGGCAGCCCTCGACTTGCAACAGTTCATTTATAATGAGTGTTCAAAGTTACAGCGGTACTAAAAAAAAGTGACTTTTGATCGGTTTTCACACTTATGACTTTTGTAGCATCCCCAGGACCATCTGATAAAAATTCAAATGCTTGGCAGCTGATTCATACTTATAACCATTGCTGTGTCTTGGGGTCATGTGATCACCTATTGCAACCTTCTGACAAGCAAAATCAATGGGGAAACCAGATTCACTTAACAACGGTGTTACTAACTTATCAGCTGCAGTGATTCACTTAACTGTGGCAATAAGGTGGTAAAACGGGGCAAAATTCACTTAACAAATGTCTCACTTAGCAACATAAATTCTGGGCTCAATTGTAAGTCGAGGACTACCTGTACCATTTCCCCATCATCCTCTTGAGGTTTCCTAAGAATATTTAAGCAATACACAATGGTGACCCAATCTTTAATTAAATTGAGAACCATGGTAGCGTCTGTGTAAGGAAGATTTAGATTCACAGCAGCAGAAAAAGTTGGTTTGGAAGATGATGTATAAAAACAATCCTTTGACCCAGATTTTTTGTTTTAATCCAGTCAATTGAAGAACACAAATCACTTTACAAGGAAAAGTGAATTCAGGCAGGCAGCTAGAAGATCAAAAGTGCAAAGAAAAAGAAAACCTGCAGACTTAAACTTTCTTTGAGTTGAAATTTCACTGATCGGGCTCAGAGCAGACCCAACTCCCATTGCACAACAGAAGTGAGAACGATGATGTATGCAAAGCACTATACATGAAAAGCCCAGATATATTTTTAATTGAATGAGCCATTCTAAAACCCAGATGTGGAGGAAAAACAGTGAGTCAAATATTCATAAGGCCTGGAGTGCAATGTTCTGTGCTGGCGAAACAGAAACATTTACACCTCTCAGCAAACAATCCACTGAATGTCTGGAGATTCTCCGTCATCCAGGTCATAGTTGTCACAAAGGTGCTTTTTTCTTCAAAAGGCAGCTGGACTGTTTTTTTCTTGAAGAAGAAAATGTTTCGCTTCTCATCCAAGAAGCTTCTTAGATGAGATGCAAAACATTTTCTTCTTCCTCAAGGAAAAAAACAGTCCAGCTGCCTTTTGAAGAAAAAAGCACCTTTGAAAGAATCCACTAAATGGAAATTTTCTCTATCCCATCATCTAGCTGCCAGAAAAATAAAAAAAGATAAAGGGAAGGAAATGCAATGCAGAAGATTAATCCTTTGGAGCCACATTCTTCTGCAAATAGGAAAGTAACACCAGAAAAAAAAAATAGGGGAAATGTTATGTGCAAAAAAAGAACAAACAATAAGAGTTGTATAGAACTAAAAGAGAGACTTTCCATGATGTAAGGTTACGGGATGGACATAAAGTTAATAACGTCGTTTACCGTCCTATATTGTACCATTATTTAGATTAGTTGGTACACCACACATGTATAAATAACAGTCAGGCCTTTTGAAAAGTGTGTTGTAGAGGTCACTTTCAGAGGTTGGGGCTATGTTGTTTTGCCACTGTAGCTGTTACCTGTGTCAGGCCTTGAAAGGCATGGAGATTGTGACGTATCAGATGGTGCTGTGGGTATACTTATCACAGTAGAAGAGTCTTCAGTGCTCTCATCTTTTGAATATACGGCTGCATTTTCTGATTTCTCAGACTCCGGCCTTTCGTTTATTAAGTCTAGCAGGAAGTATGAACTGGTCATCCTGCCTGATGTCTCTCCACTTTTTCTCATTGAAGACTCCAGATGCTGGGCTCTGAGTTCCATGTCAGTTGTTGTAGTTTCATTTAAGAAAGGATCCTGGTCAGAGCTGTTTCTATCAGCTGATAGCTTGTCACTGGGCTTTCTCGAGGAACAATCCACTAAAAGGGGCAGTTTATGGCCAACCAAGCCATCTGGAGCCTCACAAACTGGAATTGGTTTTGGGAAGGGTATATAATCCACAAAGGCATTACTTTTTTTGAGTCTTTCTTTACTTTTAGTCAGTGGTTTTTTCAAAAACCCTGCAAGTGAGGATTTTATTCTTGAGACAGTTGAGAGAGAGGGTTCCATGTTACTTATAGGTTTTTTTTCGTCTGCCATAAGAATGTCTTTGTTACGCTGGGACATATTTTGAAGAATATTTTTCTCGGTTACAACATGCCTGGTAATTGTTTTGGTGAAATGACCATGGGTTTTCTGAACCGAAGATGTCCCTTTTTGAGAATTTACGGAAAGATCGCTTAGCTGCCTTTCCAAGGATAAAATCTGAATGGTGATGCGCTTTGGTTTCCTAGTAAAAGTGGGTTTTTTCTTCCTCTTTGCTCTTAGATTAGAATGAGGAGATTTTCTACTTTGGATTATTGCAGTGGAATCATCATAATTATTTTGTAGAACTGGATTTAGGTCCATACATGCTTCATTATCCTGATTCAAATAATCAAGTGTCTTCTTCCCATATAACAAAAGCCATTGATTCCAAGCAAACTTCCACCTGCTTCTTTCATGACAAAAGATGGGAAATGATTCACTCATTTTCTACAAAAGAAAGAGATAGTGAAAATTTTATACCAACTGGCGGGACACAACTGTAACACGTGGTTAGGGAGAGCTCATACTGATACCTGGATCTCTTGAAATTATTTGAAACTATCTGTTGACTATTTCTTAAAGTTCAAATTTATATCCAGACTCAACAGCGCATACTTGAATTTTTCACATGTAAATCCAGAAAAGCCCTAGTACTGTATTAGTTGGATGTTTTGAATATTTTCTTTTCAAAAGCAAAGTAAGTTAGTCATTTGTGGTAAAAAAAAAAACAACCAGTATGTAGCTGATTTATAATCTTACTTAATTATAGTATCTGGAGAGCAGGAAAAAAAGCAAAATCTGATTTAAAGACAAATATCCATTACCAGGATGTGCAAATTTTCAGTGGAGCTTAGCAAGAAGAAGACTTGAGAAAGATCCCCCCCCCTTGAAGTTGTTTTGCAAAGGCCTGCTATCTCTCACTGTGTATGAGGACAAAATGATAATGCTTCACTGTGCCTCTTATGTAAAACCACTTTGGTACAAAGCCTTTTCCAGCTATAGAAACTGCCACTTGATGCTCAGAAACAATGTGAATTTCAAGAATTCTATTGTCTCCATCGTGGGCAGTGCCAGGCTGATGCAAAGCCACCACAAGCCTATTTACCACCTTTTTTCAACTATAAATATCTTCTAATACTCTCAGGTAAATTTGTTCCCAACTTGATTTCTTGCGCTAATATAAGTAACATGCATCTTTCAGTAGTAGCATAATACAAATAAAACCGATCATGCTTTAGATTTGAGACACATCTTCTGTATTAGATTCCTGAAAGTTATTCCCCCCTCCCCAAAGAAAGATCCATCATAAATTCAAGGAAATTTGGATTTTTGTGATATTATCAGCTTGCAAAATCTTAACAAGAACAATAATGGTTAAAGAGCAAAAGATAATAAAATAACACATACCATTTGATTTTGTGATTCTTCCTTTACACGACCAGCACTGATAATTTTGGCATTTGGATTTTTTAGTTCATCCATAATGTCCAGAGGTATAGGTATTGCCTTCTTTTTAAAACCACTTTTGTTGTCATAGATAAAGCCAGCCTGAATGCTTTGTCCATCGTTAATTAAATAATCTTTGGGAAGATTAGCTTTCCTTTAAAACAAGAAGATTAATCATCACTAGACAATCAACATTTAAATGAATAATACTGTATTACTAGTCGTTAATTCTTAGTTCCTGCTTAGATAGCAGGTGAAAACTGCAGCCAGGAGAGCCTTTACTCATCTCCAGCTAGGGTTTCAGTTGCAACCCTATTTGGGCTAATATGCTATGGTCACCACTCAGTTGGGTTATTGGAATATACTATACATGGGTTGGAGACAAACCAAATTCTATAGCTAGCAGAAAACATGGTGAAAGACTCTGTTAACTCATCAAGGTAGAATAAGAACCTATTTTAAGTAACTAATTGTTACCTGTTGGCTTTTGAGCCCAATACAGAAAAATAAAGCTTTAAATCCCTAGCGTGAAAAAACATCTGGATATATTACACAACACCTTGCACGATCCTAATCTGTTGGCCTCGCCCAGTTACCAAGGGAGGACCTGTTTCAACTTCCTTGACCAGAGGACAGTTTCTGAACTATACTGTATCCTCAGTCAGCAAGGAGTAGGTCAGGATGCTGAAGATACATCCATTTTCTTCTCAGTTTTTCTTTTCTCTCCAAAAGAAGTTTGCCACATTGAATTCATTATGGCATATGTAGGAGCATGACATCTATAAAAAAAATTAATCAAAAGGAACTTTTGTGTGCATGTTTAATAGACCGATTCCACTGTACAAATAATATGAGAAACAGGAATACAAATCAGGAGAAAAGCGTGCAATTAAATAAGGTCTTGGGGTTTCAAGTTGACAGCTCATTAGAGAGACAATGGAGTTGTTTCAGTGAGACACTGTTTCAGATTTCTCCTTTCCAGACTTTAGAAAAAAAAATGTTTTTAATCACCAATAATTTTCAAGAATCTGGCAAAACAGCAATTTTCCTTCCATAAAGGTGAATCCAGAAAACTATACAATCT